TCGAACCGCTGAAAATTTCTAGCGTCATAGAATGTTTTAATGAAACGAAGAAGTATACTAGAATAATGTCTGGCATTATCATAACTAAAGTAGATACAAAACAGCGATGTCACTGAAAGTTAATTTAAACAAAGAATGAGAGCCCGTGGTTAAAATGTGCAATATTTTTGTTTTTTCTACACATTTTAATGTGCAGTATTGTTGAGTTATTACTATATTTTATTTTACCTATAAATTAACGTAATGGTGTAATCTGTTGTATAAATAGATGGATCTGTCTAAAATAAATGTGGCATAGAGGTAGGCACAGTGCGCGCTCGTCAATTGAACTCATATTATCTATTTGTCTAAGCCCGATGAATACCACGCTATTTCTGTATGAACGGCAGTGTTAAAATGTGAATCTGAGGTTTTGGCTGATTTTCACTAATCGATTTCTATTGCCGGCAAAATCTTAGACTAAATTGCAGTGGATTTGGCACGAAGGTCTAGAATTACAATTTCAAAACTACTTTTTACACGTTTGTCCGTAAGTATATAAGGATTTTATGACGGCGTGAGTTGGTTCGAATCATCACGTGAGGAGAAAACGTTATGCCCACTGCATTCGTCTCTCAGCGCCTCACATCCTCGGATGCCTAATAGCGACCCGTGCGATGTTAAGGTTATTTTTTAATGTTTTACTTAACAATTTTCACTGATTGAACGAACTATTCTTTAAACATTAAATTAAGCTGTTTTTATTTGATTCCTATTATTTGCATGGTGAGATATACTTTACTTTTACTTTTAAAAAAACATTGCCCTTACTTTGGGATAACATTATCCTGTGTTGTAAGGACGTTTTTACAAGCATAAATATCACGCGGACAAACACCCAGATGCGGAACAACTATCTGTGGTTCACACAAATAGTTGTCCCGTGTGGGAATCGAACCCACGACCCCCGACGCCGAAGCCAACACCTTAGCCACTGCGCCACGGAGTCATCAATAATAGAAAAAAAGGCACTTTGCTTCGTGTGCGGGGCATTTGTGGGTGGCCAGATTTTCAAATGTATTGTCTCACATTTCTTTTCAAATTCTCTTACCCAGAACATCGCCAATTTCTTTTAAAACGTGCCTCATAATTTGTACGTCAGCATACTTACAGACAAGGTCGTGGACCAAAGACAGCCTATGTTATCAGTAATAAATCTTTATAATGGGGCAATGTTATTAATCTAGAATGACCAATGCGTTTCGGAGTCAAACATGCAGTTGGGTTTATCGGAACCAATATCTGGGTTTGTTATCGATGCGATTCTGAACTGGGCGCATCTAAAAATAAGCGACATCGTTTCTCAGACGCAGTAGCGGGTCAGGAGGGCTCTGTTGATTGAGTCAGCCGCCCGATGACGTTCATTGCGTTTCAAATTGACGGCCGCTCGTGTCGACTTATTGGTGAATGCGTTTTAAGTGCGTACCCGCGTGGCTCTTTTTGAAATTGGATAGTTGACTATTACTGTCTAAAAGTAACCTCCCTCCCCTCCCTCTTTCAAAAAGGTTGCATCGCACTTGCAATCCTTTAACATCAGGTGTACCACATGCTCGCTTCCCACCTTTTCACATAAAAAAGCGCGGCCCCACTTCGGATTGGCGGAATTCACACTAGAAGTAAAATAGTTAAAGTTTTGTTCAACTATAGTTTCTAACATCTACTAAATACATATATAATAAAACGAAAATATTTAATATACAACAATTATACATTTATACTACATGCATACTTATCAAAAAAATATTAACAAATCACATAAAGACAAATTATATTTAATAAGAAAACACATAAATACACACGACATAAACATAACTTAGAAGTGCCTAAAATCAGGACTTTGTATGGAAAAAGAAATATACAGTTTGAAGGAGCTCACCTATGTGATAAGTTACCACCCGATGTCAAAAATTGTTCCTCGTTAACGAGTTTCAAAAAAAAAATTAAAAATGTTTTTAATGGAAAGTTATGCAATAACTCCGATTATCCACACTTTTTAAATTGTTATTTAACATTTACTATGTAAAATTTTCCCAAAGTTAAGTGAATATTGTAATATTCTTTTTTTGAGAAATAAATATTTCTTTGAACCTAATTACTTTTCTTTACTATTTCGAAAATATGCAGGTTTCGTCACGATGTTATCCTTCGCCGCGGAGCACGTGATTAGTTACTCAAAAATAAGCGTCATGAAATTTGATGGTACTACCATGTTATAGCGCGTGTATTGTGTATTCTGTATTTAGTCGTTAAATAATAAATGTGTTTACCACTTCTGGCTTGTCGTCAGAATAGCTTTTGGTTGATGGTTGGGTGAGACTTGTGGAATTTCAGCTATTCGTAACACGTTACGTCAAATGCATTGCAAACATTGGCAACATATTGGCAAGGTAAATAGGCATTTAATGGCAAGTCGGGCTAGGCTCGTAAAAACAAGTCTTGTGTATTCGACTCTCCGTTTTTGATTGTAGTGAGTACCGTTCGCATAACCAGTAATTGATACTCTTGAAGCTGCAGTGATTGATAGCTTTCTTATTAATTTACGATAGAAAAATCATTTTTCATCCGGACGTGGGTCTCGATTCCTGCTGCCCAGTTTTTACCCATAAGTAAACGGATGATTGCCACACCGACAAAAATCACAACGTATTTTATCCACATTTTGCTTTTTCGCATTTTAAGCACTGCTCGGCGCATCTTTTGTGATGTCCTTTAAAAAGCTAACAATTTAAGAATGTTCAACAACTAAAACAATGTTTTCCTTCTAAATATTATGTTTAAAATCTGTTTTTTTTTTTTTTTTAAAAACTATGCCAAAAATTTATGTTAGCTACTAAAAATCTGAATTATCACTCAGCGCTCAGCGCTGAAGGAAGACATCGTGAGAAAACCAACATATTTTCGAAATAAAATAAAAAAAACATTTTGTAGACATGTGAAGTCCACCAATCGGCAGTGGGATCGCCTGGCGAACCACCAAATCCTCACCAATACCCTCTGTACAGAGGAGGCCTTTGCCCAGCAGAGGGATTTAAGTATGGGCTGTTACTTTACTTATTTTGAAATAAAAATACACGAACAAGTTCGCATCTATAATTACAGATGAACGATAAAACTTTGTTGTGTTTTTAAAGTTTTTTTTTATAGTGGTAATCTCTTCACTCAAGATCTCTTTGTTGTGTGTTTACCTTTCGTGTGTTATCATGAAAAGAGTTTGAAACCTTGACGTTTCATTTTCGCTGCGCTCGCTACTTGTTGTTTGGCGGGATTCTATTTCTGCGTTGGCGCTGTAAACATCAATGCGTTGCCGTATTTTGGTGCGCGCGGTTATTGGCGGCCTGGCACGTATTGCCAAGAGCGATGCAATGTCACGATCCCATCATTAAGCAATGATGAAATCTTTATTTAACGGTGGTAGAGACCCGCAACTGTTGCACGAATGGGCAGGTCCGTCCGGGTAAGTACCACGACCTCACAGAAGACCGGCGTAAAGTAGAAGTGATACAATTCTGCGTTTCGTCTAAAATGGCAACTCTCTATAGGTGTGGTAAATGTCCATCGCGGCGGTTATCACTTAACATCAGGTGAACGCTCGTTTGCCACTTTTTCACATAAAAAAAATATCACTAAGTATCATTATACTCCTGCCCTTATCCCACCAAGTGGGGTGGGCATTTTGCTGTAAGCGGTCTTGGCTATGTTTTTGTACTGCCTACGTAAAACAACCCTCTTTGGGAAACAAACGACCAGATTCGGAACGATTATGTGTTGGTCACACAAATACTTGTCCCGTGTGGAATTTGTACCCACGACCTCCAGCCAATAGATTAGGAACTGAGCTACCGAGCCTTTATCACAAACAGGAGAAAGAAAACAGTGAAAAAAGTTAACAAAACTAAAAACACAAAAGAAAATATAAAAAAAATGTTTTCCGCTTTCTAGTTTAATGGAAATTCTCTGAAAGTACAACTAGTGAGTAAAAGAAATGTCTAAAAATAAATTGTTGAAATGTTAAATTATCTCTGACTAACACATGTTAATATGTATTAAATAGTTGAAAGGGGGAAATTTACGTGATTTTACGCCAGTTTTTTTTTATGGACATTCATGACAGCAATGGAGTAAAACAAGAGTTGAAAACAGTCATGATCTATCTCAAACTTTTGGGATAAATATGTGAGAAAAGTTTCATGCTGTTTATATTTAAACTAGCGGACCAACAGACTTTGTCCTGTACACACGAGTGAAGTCCGACAACAACTTATAAAGAAAAATAAAATAAAAAAAAACATTTACAACCGAATTGTGAATCTAAACCATTCTGGAATCTACCTGAAGACACACAAAAAAAAATCATTAACATCGGTCCAGCCGTTTAGGAGGAGTTCAGTGATATACACACGTTCAATTGAATTATATATATAAAGATAGGTCTTTCACGAATGGGCAGACTTGTTCACTGAGTTCGTAGTCTCAGAAGATCGCGAAGTAGAAGTATCAAGAAGATATAAGAAGTAAGAATGGTCCACCTTTTGTAGGCGGTAAACGCACGTGAAACCTATGGGTGTTGTAGAATAGGCGGCGGTAATCATTCAACATCAGGTGAAATGCTTTTTTGTTTATCAGCGTCTCAGATAATAAAATCGATAAAATAATGCGCATATTGAAATAACGACTTGTTTTCTTTGCCAAAAATGTTTCAGGCTCGGTTCTTAAATCTTTACATGTCTGGGTGTTAATATATGTATTATAATTAGTATTTTTTTTACAAAAGTGAAGTGTGTTTAAGTATTTTTATCAGTTACAAACTATACAACGCTTGTACTATGGGTACTAGACCCAGTTTAGTTAGGGGCTAGAGAACGTTGTGTATAAATGTGTCCTAAGATATTTATTTTATTTATTTAACCTTGAGAGACCTTTTTAAAGACCGGTGTCTCATCTCTATTTTTTTATTGTTTCAGAAATATGTCGTCAGCACGGATCGCAGCGGCGATATTCATGTGCACGTGCAGGTGAGTTCTCCGATATTCTTTTTACAGTCTCAGTAAAAGGGTCCCGTTTTGCCCTTCGGGTACGGAACCCTATTACTAAGACTCCGCTGTGTGATCATCTGTCACCAGGCTGTATAGGCTCATGAACCGTGATAGTTAGATGATGTATTTCTGTTGCCGCTATAATAACAACTACTAAAAAAATAATAAAAAAAATTTTAAGTGGGGCCCCCACACAACAGACATGATTATTTGTCGTTTATATAGATAATGGTACGGAACCCTTTGTGCGTGAGTCCGACTTGCACTTGGCCGTTTTTTTTTTATTTTGTGTTTATTGACTTTGATATCAGTTTCATATTTGGGCCACGTGAGATTATTAAATTGGTTTTGAAGGTCGGGGAAGTCCTAATGGATACCAGGGCCAGTTCATATTTGAAATTAAAAACATTGGCGTTTTTTATGACCGTTTTTTTATGTAAGGGATTTATTATGGAAATCATGAACACAATAAAATCAATACAGGTCTAGGCTATTGCTTGTAACGGTCGCTATATAATGTATAGGAATTTAGAGGCCAAAGCATGACATAATCTGCGTATTTTAATATATAACTTAACCACATCAATTACATCTATTATTATAACGTGACACAAATTTATAAAGTACCACTAATCTACCTAGTTTTCTGTTCAGCTAGCGTCCACAATTATTGGAGTGTGTTAATTCACTGCATTGATTGTTAATTTTTTTTGCGATATTTTTAAAACAAAAAATAAGCAGCGCGGAATGATAACATAAACATTTCCGTTTAATACCCATACCTGTAAAGTAAGAGGTAGCTATCTACAGTTGCAGGTTAATAAGTTTTTTTTTGACTCGATGTACGTACGTTCGTGTTTTTGTTAGTTGGGAAAATTGAACAAATAAATTGTCCATGCACGAACTTTACCTCGAAACAAGTTCAAAGTGAAACAATGGAAGATAAGCGTAGTGTACCGTCGCGTCCGTGTCTATAGATTAATACGTGAAGCAAAAACTTTGTACCCCGTTTTACGAAAATTGCGCGGACGGAGGAGTATGAAATTTCTCACACTTAAAGTTTATATGGAGAAGGAGTGCAGAATACTTATATTTTTAATGCATAAAACATACATTAAATCATTTTTATTGATTGATTGATACATGTGTAATGTTTTTTTTTATTAATTTAATGTGTTTTTTCCTCAGTCTACTATGTATAATTAATTATGGTCGAAATTTGTCAACTAGGCTATCTCTAGTCAAAATAAATATTCAGGACATATACACATGCCGTGATGGCTAATTGTTCGGGCGCTCGCCTTTAATTCAATATACTCGAGCAACCTGAGTTTTACCCCCGGTGCCGGCACCAATGGAGATGTTAGTTGTGCTGATTAATCGCGTGCTCAACAGTGAAGGAAAACAAATGTCCTAATACCGTCTGTGCAACGAAGGCCTTTGCCCAGCAGTGGGACATATATAGGCTGTTTGTTTTCGAGTTAACCAAAGTTTGAAGTTAACGATCAGGGCCTTTATCGCGGTGGTTAATCTCGGTGTATTCTTTAATCAGTGTCCCCTTTTAGTCTCCTCGTGTAATAGAGGTTTTATGACCTAGCAAAAACGGTTCAGAACAGACGATGAATGACAATTAAATTTCGAAAACTCGAAAAACTAAATAGGAACAAGCTAACTTTCACATGAACTCTATTCATGTTTTTAATTATTTGTTATTATATATCACTGCCCATATCCTTTCTCTATTTTCTATTTAGTGCATTTATATTTGTAGATCAAAATAAAACATGTCTTAAATATTAAGGTAATTTAACTTAATTTTGCTAACAATTTAACACGAACAAATGAAAACCGGCCAAGTGCGATTCAGACTCGCGCACGAAAGCCTCCGTACCATTTTCTGTATAAAAACGGCAAAAAATCATGTCGGTTGTATAGGAGCCCCATGTAAATATTTTTTTATTCTGTTTTTCAGTATTTGTGGTTATAGCGGCAACACAAATACATCATCTGTGAAAATTTCAACTGTAACTATCACGGTTCATGAGATACAGTCTGGTGACAGACGGACAGCGGAGTATTTGTAATAGGGTCCCGTTTTACCCTTTGGGTACGGAACCCTAAAAAATAAAGTATGCCACTAATTCACGGTAGCAATACACAAAGCGGAGCAACTAGTTTTGTTGGCCAGAAATGGCCGAATCCGACACGAAAATCGAATTTTCGTTCGGACACTGAACATACTCCCATTAATTCATTATTGCACACAAAATTTTACATGTACAAATGACAATGACCTACGTTTACCCCTTCCTTGCTTAAATATGTTTACTTTAACGTAGTTAGATAGGTTGGGCCATTGCAGCCGTAGCGGAACACCATTAATTGTAATATAGTTTGAATTAATGAGACACAATTATTTTTTATGTTAAATCTACGAGTGTAGTAGCTAGGGGACAAAAAACGGCTACGCATGATGTTTCTTGTCAAGAACGTGTTTTTTTTTATGTGAAAAGCTGTCAAGCGAGCAGACGGTTCACCTGATGTTAAGTGAATACCGCCGCCCATGGACATCTGGGTTCACCATAGGGTTCCAGATGCGTTGACGACCTTTTGAAAATTGGGCTCCGGCCACCTTATTCACCAGACGAAACGCGAAAGTATTGTACTTTCACTTTACACCGGTTTTCTGTGAGGTCGTGGTACTTACCCATTCGTGCAACAGCCGAGGCTGCTGCGTGGCCCTACCACCGTGGTTCTTATTGTATGTAAATTGCTTTAACAACTCAACCCGAAAAAGATACGGCCATTTTATCTATTAAACTTGAGTGCAGATTAGGGGGCCATGTTAGCTCAGTGGCCGGGCGGTCGCTTTTAATTTAGTATACTCGAACTACCCGAGTTCAGACTGTCAAATGTATCTTATGTTATAATGCGGCACCGACCACAGGTGCCGCATTATAACATAAGATACATTCATTACATACATAACATACACTATATACATTACATACATAACATACATAAATTATATACATTACAATATTAATAATACGTGAAAACCAAACTCCATTGGGGTCAACCTTAAGCTTCTGCTCAGAGCAGATTTACCCAACAATGGGACATAGATAGGCTGTTACTTTACTTATTTTTTTGAGACTAGCGACCCGCCCCGGCTGCGTGCGTGTTCAATGTATCATAAATATAAACCTTCCCCTTAAATCACTCTATCTAGTAAAAAAAACCGCATCAATATCCGTTGCCTAGCTTTAAAGATCTAAGCATACATAGCGGCAGACAGACAGCGGGACGACTTTGTTTTGTACTATGTAGTGATTAGTACAAAATAAAAAAAAAATCCTAAAACTACATAACTTGTGTTTAATCTATACTTTTATTGTTTGATGCCAACTCGATCATGACATATGTTCATTAGGGACAAGTCAATATGAATTGTACGTTTAATCGTTTTTTCCATTTCACGCGGCAATAGGGAGATGTCCCTCAGCATGTCGAGGTGAGTCAAGTGCTAGTGAACTAACTGTTAATGGGTAGATCGGGCTTAATTTGCTTAGTGGTCAATTTGTTACCGCGCCCTCGAGCAAGGCCGGGCGATTGATTACACAGTTAATTGGTATTGCTTACGTTAATACACTTACAATTGCCGATGCTATTTGTACATGTAGACACGATCTGCTGTTGTGAATAGAAATCCCTGATGTCAAACAGAGGTCCTGAAGTGTTTTTAACCGACTTCAAAAAAGAAGGAGGTTTCTGGAGGTTCAGTTGGACCGTATATATTTTTATTTTTTTATGTGTGTTCGCGGATAACTTCGAAGTTTGTGAACCGATTTTGATGATTCTTTTTTGTTCGGAAGGAGATATCCCACCCGGATCCGATGATGGCATCCGAGAGAAATCGAGGGCAATCCTCAAATGGTTTCAAGTGGGTTGTTGTTTGTTAAAAATTATATGACGACTACGTGTTATACTCGTCTAATGACTGCTGACAATCCTGTCAGCCATCGCTAAAAACGCTAGACTAACGAATACATTTATTTCCTATCTTTTATCCGAGAGCTTTACTCGTTTACATGTGGTACACTTATAATGGGAAGAACATGTTTTGTATGTGAGAACGTGGCAAGCTTGCGGTTCACATGATGTTAAGTGATACCCGCCGCCCATGGATATTTGCAACCCCTTTGGTTTTCAAATACGTTGTCATCTTTCAATAAAGTGGGCGTCGGCTACCTCACTCACCGGAGGAGACGCAGATGTACAATACTTCTTTAAATTTAAGCTTATCAAAATTTATATATAAATTAATTATGTATATATATATATGTGAAAAAAATAAATAAATATGAACTCACTACTGCACCGTTACCAGGCCCGGTTGATGTACGCGGCGGTGACGGCACAAAAATAAACTAAAAAATAACATACAAAAAAATGTTAATCAAGAAAGAGAACGGACCACGAGTCTGTAGAGTTTTTACGGTGGCAGGGCCACGCACCACGCACCACGACCTCACAGAAGACCAGCGTAAAGTGGAAGTATGACAAATACTTTCGCGTTTCGTCTGGTGAGTGGGGCCCAATTTTCAAAAGGTTGTCAACGCATCTGTATCCCTCGGGTGTAGCAGATGTCCATGGGTGGCGGTATTCACTTAACATCAGGTGGCCCGTCTGCTCGTTTGGCAACTTTTCGCATAAAAAAAAGAGAGTGTGTTAAATTAAAAAAAAATACTTCTCTGTCGGTCTTCTGTGAGGATATAATACATACTTCAAGGGCGGGATCCGCCCCTTCGTGCTATAGCGAAAACTGTGCTTCGAAGACGTGGTCCTACAACGGCTAACGAATGCCTGTCATTTCTTGACACAACCACTTACATGTTTTAGTATAGCGTAGCCCGTTATATAAACGCCCTCACCCCTGAGCAAAAGAAAAATTAAAAAAAAAAAAAAAACATTTTTCTAATTCGCTAATCCATTGGCTTTACTTGCAGGGAGACTTAAGCCAGCAGGACAAAAGATGCGTTTTCCTCACTGTCCACGACCTCGGAACCAATCGTAAGTGGAACTTTCTTCATTTTAATTATTATAAGACCTTTTAGGTGTGTCATGGCAGAACTTTTTCGAAAGTATTGCCATATTAACAGTGAAAAAAAAAAAAAACAAAAAAAGGAATGTAATAAGACATAATCGCTCTATCCTTAGTAATCTTATAAACATGAAAGCATGTATGGATGGATGTTTGTTACTCTTTCACACAAATACTACTGAATGTATTTTAACGAAACTTTACAATAATATAGTTTATACATCAGAACAACACAGGCTATATTTTATACACATATTTTATGTATATCTGTCTTTCTGTCCGAATGTTACGCCTTCGGCCTATTCTATGCAGACGTGGTCGCGGGCAGCAGCTAATAATAGAATAAAATTGTAATAATGACTCCGTTGTGCAGTTGCCAAGGCATTGGCTTCCGCGTCGGGGGTCGTGGGTTCGATTCCCACACGGGACAACTATTTGTGTGACCCACAGAGAGTTGTTTCGCGCCTGGGCGTTTGTCCATGTGAAATTTATGTTTGTAAAACGTAATTAAAAACACAGGACACTTAACACTGTATAAAGTTATTCTAAAGTAAGAGTTATGTTTTTAATTGCTCTTCAAAGTTTCAGAGAAAAATAAATTATTAGGTTTCCTCATTTCGATATGGAGTTGTCTGCTCTATTGCTCGTTATTTTCCATAGTTTCGACGAAAAACATTAATTGATAAACATGTTTTTATACTTGTTGTTTTTTTTTCCATTTATGTACCGTATTACCGAAGATGAACCTTACAACACGTCCGATTTTTTAAAACAACTACGGTGGTTGGGTTCCACGCAACAGAGTTCACTGTTGCACGAATGGGCAGTTCCGTCCGGGTTAGTACCACGACCTCACGGAAGACAAACGTAAAGTAGAAGTGTTGAGCCCAAACCGGTTCTGCGTCAGATGAAGCTTTCATAGTCTCGGGACTGAAAGCAAAAACATCAGTTAATACAAGATACAAGAGAAGTTTGCACTTCTGCGTTTCGTCTGGTGAGTGAGGTAGCCGGGGCCCACATTATTAAGAGGTGGCAACGCATCTGCAACCCAACGGGTGTTGCAAATGTCCATGGGCAGGCGATTATCACTTAACATCAGGTGAACCGCCAGCTCTTTTGCCACTTTCTCACATTAAAAGAATAAAAAAAAACCAAAAACTTTGTAATGCCACATTTTTTCGTTTGGTACTGTCATTTGAAACTCACATACTTTAGGAAAAGTAATAAAAATTCTAAGATTCGTGATGCTGCTAATACGGAGTGGGACGCGTGCTGGACTCTATTTTAATACACTCTGTACAGTCGTCTTTTCCAAGCAGTGGAATGCTCCACTGTTCCTATGTGTTTTACAACGATTACTCGAACGAGAGATGTCGTCTTTGCATGAATAAAAACTACTGGAGATTTTCTGTTTTGGAGGTCCATGGTCGGTAATAAAAAATTATTTTAAAATGAACCATCAGTTCACTTGGCAAGTAGAAAACAATTTGGAGGAATGCTAGAGGACAGAAAGAGTGATAGTATGGCATTGTGTCATAATAGGGGAAGGAAACAAATAGAGTGGTGGGAGAGAGAAAGAGATATAATATACGATTCATTGTCATCACTGTAGACACGTCGCTGGTCGACTTCGTGAACTGCCCCGCTATGTCGGAGATCAAGGAGCGTTCGTGCTTCATCCACGTGGACGTGCCTGGTCATGAAGAGAACTCGCCCGATCTTCCCGAATCGTAAGCAAACATCTCATATTATAAGCTCGATGAGGTTTCATAGAGCTACTCACATATTCCCGGTTTCTATATTCAACGGAACGAATAGTTAAATAGCTTAGTAACTCTCATAATGACTTGTAGATAAAAGGCGTGTACGCCCGGTTCCTATATTAACAAAGCGAAGCGCTTTCTTTACGAGTCTTTGCACTACCTACGGAGAGTGAGTTACTAGCGTTCCTTTAATCTACAAGTCTTTATGAAAGTTACGAACTTATGTAACTAACGGCCGTTCGTTGGAAATAGGAACTGGGCACTAGTCACGCATCCTTGAAGTAAGGTTTGTAGTTGTTAAGTTGCGGACTTCTTCAAACTTTCCTACTACCGCTTACTGCTTACTTACTGAGGTGCAGAGTGGCTATTTGGGGCATCTGTCTTGGTTGCCAACTTAAAACTGCATGGCTTGACAGGCTTCCCTCGGGGAGCCTCCGCGACCGGGACAAGTATTTGCATTGCATCAGTAATTTTCCCCGACCTTGATGGGTTGAGATAAAATTTACTCGAGCCAGTTTGCTTTTTGTACGCTTTTAGGTTATTTTCGAAGTGTTATTGAAAATCAAAACTACGCTCTCCCGTTGCAGCTACCCGTTCCCTTCGCTGCAGACGCTAGGCGAGGACCTGATCACCGTTCTGGACTTCCTGCACGTGCGCTACGCGGTGGGGCTCGGCGAGGGCGCCGGCGCTAACGTGCTGGCGCGCTGCGGCCTCGCCCATCCGCGCCGCCTCCTCGGCCTGATCCTGGTCAACTGCACCGGCTCCACGTCCTCGGTGGCGGACGCCTTCCGCAGCAGGTTCTCCCGCTGGCGCGGCGCCGACATCTCCCAGTCCGAGGAGGACTTCCTGATCTATCACAAGTTCGGACACGTGAGTTTGGTGTCACGCCATCTTGACTATAGCTACCAGGTTTGTTCCTCTCCTTTGCTCGCTTATTTTTCTTGCAGGTGGCGCGAGATAGGTTTTGCAAGAATTATCAATTTTGTCTTGTGTCAACAGCTATGTTATTACTGGATCTCCTATTGGTATGATGCATCCATTTGATGTTAGATTCTTTGGCTGTTCAGTCATTGTGCTGCGAAGTACCTAACTTTATTCTGAAGTGAATAATAAATCGTGTTTAATCGTTATCTGTCTTACGTCTTTTTGCTCATTATCTGACGATGTGTAAAATTGCACCATCAAGTAATTGAAGTAAATAATTTTTACGACAGAAATATCTTCAATTTAATTATAACATTTAAAATGCTTCTCACCCCCATGAATATTTCAGTAATTGCATTTATTACAAAGTCATTAAAAAACCTATTATTTAACTTACTAAGGAATATTAAGATTGCGTTCCCATTACTGATCCCTTACGCATCTCTTGCAAAGATGACTTTACATATGTATCAAAACAAATACACGTACCAACAAATACCTATTAGGTAACAATGGTTTTGATTCTTTCGGTTTTCAAAACTATTAATACAATCGACATCATAGATTGTTAACGAATCTACTGTCCATCTCTACACCCAATTAATATAAATTAATTCTTCTAATCGCCGACTGCTGAGCATGACCGTTCTGGTCGTGACTTATTGCAATTCTCATTTAGATCTACATCAAAGTCAAAGATGTAGTCTATTACATCAAAGACATTCGGAAACAATACGAGCTTTTCCTAAGTAGTTAGTGCTTAAATCTCATCTATGCTTATCTGTTCTAGTTTTCATTTCTTAACTCCTTGATACCTATCATATAAAAATCTGGTAAGATATTTTACCATATTTTGTGTCTAGTTTTTACAATTTTGCAGTAATGTTAATTTTATTTTATACTATCCCACTTAATGTTTCTTTGTTTCTGTTTGATTATTTTATTTTAAAATACTATAAATTGAAAAACTTATATTTTATAGGTACTTATAATTAAGAAATTGTATTTATATAATTATATAGGAAGATGACCGTTCGCACCGCCGTCCCTTTTCTAAGTGGCGTGCCCGAGCACGTCCAGAACACACCCCCGTGTCCGATGTCAATTGACTTCCACAACTCATAACCGTCAAGTCCGCTCTCTCACTTCCTGTATCGACCTTACTCAAGCGCACTACTTGACGTTTCCGAGACCTACTAATAGATGGTGTTGTAATCAAATTATGGCACCACATCTTGATATATATATAGTAGTAAGGTTGAAGTCGAATCGATGTAACTCTTCACGAGAACTGCTGCCGACAAACTGAATTACAGTTTGGCAGAGAATAATTTAGGTTATTGTACTTTATTATTGGATTAAATAAATGAAAAAAAAAATATTTGGTGATTATTCCTATTGGCTTTCTGAACTGTTGATAAGTTCAAGAGGGATGTCATAGTATAAGTACTTATTTTCTCGCACCGCTCTTTTACAACTCCCAGCCAACTTGTTGAAAAATAAAAGAGGCAGACTTTTATATGTTACTTCATCGCAGAAAGAATATTATTCGTGTAATATATTTTGTCAAGTTCGTAAAATACGTAACCATAGCCGGTATTATTGTGTTTAAAAGGTTAAAAAATATAACTTAACTTATTTTGATTTACTTAATTTGTTATGCATGACGACGCCGAGTTCAACATGAACGTGATGATTGTGTGCTAATGACTTTGTAATTATTTTCAAGGATTTTTTATTAGTTTGCGTAAGCTAATACTTAAGCTACATAGAAAGGCTATTGACGTGTATCGTCATTTGGATATTTTAGCTTTGTAAAAAAAAACCCGATAAAACGAGAGTCAGAATTACATAAAGGAGGTTTCTCTTCTAAAAATCTTCATCAACTAACAATCTTTAATTAATTGTGCTCTACTGAAATTTTTTGCTCGTAAACTGCCTCTACCACAACCAATAGGCACCTATACGATAACAATACATCCACTCATAGTGGATGTAATTCAAGAAAAGAGTTTAAATAATCTATCTCATATTCCGTAACATAACAGTTTTATTTTGATATTTAAAAAAAAACTGATTAAAATTGTCAGGATTATTTCATGAGTTGGTCACGATATCTCCCGAAAAAGTGGACATACCGAGACCGGGTTTTGTTTATTTTGTTCAGAATAAAATCAACTAGTTACTCTAAGATCAACTAATACTAGTTTTATATTAATAGCCGTACCGTGCTACCGTAGATTTTGAACAAAAAGTTCACTATTTACACTTTAATGTTGAATTGTGCCAATAATACAAATGCGTCAATGGTACGACTTCTTTTAACTTTTCTTAAAAATTAAATGAGTGTTATGAGGAGGGTACTTTTAAATTTCCAAATTTCTTTGTTTTTCAATAGCACAAAGTAATGACAGTCTAACCAAGTTTATTATGAACACAGATTGATGGGCCACAGAACCTTGCAAAAGTACACACATTTCGCCCAAGGTTGATTGGCGAAACTATTTAAATTATAAACATTAGCTTGGGATCCTTTAATTTTATCTTGATCCAAGGTAACTACTACTGCGAGACGACAGGCAGTTTCTTTGTAGATCGGAAACGACGGAAAAGCCCTGACCAGTATTAACAATCAATAATTAGACGTCTAACGCCTGAATCTGTCCGAGGACATTGAATATAGAGTATTCGACACGTCGGGAAATAATTAAATGTAAACGTTTTCTTTCTAATGTGAGAAGGTGGCAAGGAGCTGTCGGTTCCCCTGATGTTAAGTGATCCCTTCCATGGGTATTTGCAACACCAGTGGGGTTGCAGGACACTTGAAACACCGGTAGGATTGCAGCTGGCAAACTTTTTAATAAAATGGGCCCCGACTGCCTCACTCGTAAGACGAAACGCAGAAGTATAAAACTTCTCCTTCACGCCGGTCTTCTGTAAGGTCGTGGTACTTCCCCGGATGGTCCTGCCTACTCGTGCAAAAGTAGAAGCTGTTGCGTGCCCTACGCGATAAACTTTAAAAAATGGCTTAATTTAGTAAGACAAAATTCCATAAAATTAAATCGGTAGTTATTGCTTTTTATTGCTTTTAGCGTTTAAGAAACAGACATACCTACATTTAAGAACTCGAAATAACGTTAATTTAAACATATTAATGTGTGGTTATTCGTAGGACAATGAGTACAGGGCAATTTGAGTTAAGATTAAGAGTGACAATCAAATGTAACTAACAACATATTATAATATATCGTCCAATTAATTCCTGACGCTTTTACCGCTCTCTCTCTCAAGCTCAATTTCTCCTCTCTAACTTGTTTTTATTTTCCATTCACTTTTATCTTATCTATCTTATGTATCTTTTTCTCTTTTCTTGTATTCGCTAACTCTGCTTTCCTTCGTCCCGCTCGCACAATCCAAACGTGTATAGCTCCGTCTCTCTCCGCCGGCAGCAAATCGCCAGCGAGTCGTGCGAGGTGAGCGAGCGGGAGCGCACACTGAGCGAGTACCGCTCGCGGCTGCGAGGCAACCTCAACACGCACAACATCAAGCAGTACGTGAGGGCCTTCATCAAGTGAGTGCTTATACTTCGTGGAGTTGGATGGACTTCTTTTTGATTCTTCTGCTATTCTTCTTTCATCTATGATGTGCAACTTTATCAAAGAAGTGACTTCGTAGTTGTTTTTTTTCTATGAGAAGGTGGCAGGTTGGTGGTTCACTTGATGCTGTGAAGTGATAACCGCCGCTCATGGACATATGCAACACCCATAGGGGTGCGGATGCGTTGCCACTTTTTAATAAGGTTGGATGGAGTTCTTTATAGGGAGATCCAAGCCAGCAAGGCTCATCGCCGTCCATATAATTTCCGAGGTCCATTTGGTGGAATAGTTGGAATATAGGATGTGGAGTTGTCTTAAGTTGTTTGTCGTTGTAGAGTACGGTCACAATATGAAGGAGCTGAGAGTAGGCTCGAATGCCAGTGTTCTGGATTTTCTTAAGTCTTTTTATTACTTAGTTGGTGGTAAAGAGCAAAGCACTCTAGTTATCATCACTCACAGATTCTCCCAATACCAGACGGTTTGCAAATCGAAGAGAAAAGTTATTTAGCCCGCTTAATTTATCTAATAGGGTACCGGTAAAATTATATCTAAGACTGGAGTAGTATGTTCAGGCGACTGGCTTTTCATTATGGTACTACGTGTATTAGTAGCATAAATTGGCTTCTGCTGTTAAATGGACGGTCACGTAATGGAAGTAACGATAGATTAAGCGAGGCCTTAAGAGAAAGAAGAAAAACGCTGCAGTAATCACCACTACCTGAATTACTAGCTTTCTCAACTCTTTTTTTTATCTAAAAAGTGACCAAGCCAGCACCTTCACCTGATGGTTACTGATCACCGCCACTCATGTATCTACAATAACTGGTTGGTTACTTACCCTAAGTATAGTACTTGCACTAACACAACGATCTCTCTAAAATGCGCACGCTTTACTATTTGAAATTAGTAAAAAGGACAATAATAATAAATAGTGACTGCATTAAGACGTCCGAATGGTCGGTGACAATACGATGAGTGTTTTCTCAGCCGTAAGGACTTAGTTCTGCGCGGCTGTCAACCCGACATTCTGCTGATCACGGGCACGCAGAGTCCCTACGCTGGTGTCGTCGAGAAAATGTACAAGGAGTTGGACAAAGAGAAGGTCACCATCCTCAAGGTGGATAAAGTGGGGGACGTGCTGGCCGAAGCGGTGAGTGAAGCTAATAGAAACTCTTCCTCCTTCCCATAAACCACGCAATTCTGAAAGCACTTTATCCATTTTAATATTTTATGGAGAGAAAAATTATATTACGGAGAGAAAAATCTTCTATATAATATCTGAAAATGTCTAAAAACAACATTTTTCTATATTCCCAAACAAAAGATTCGCAATAGTACTTAAAAGTCAATTTGAACTTTAATACCTTACCATAAAGTTTAAGTGTTAGTGGAGGGGTTCCGGGAAGGCAAGGTTAGTGACGTTCGTATAAATATTAATGTCAATATTGGTCGTTTTGTAATAACTTTTTGCTATATATAATACATTGCACCCGTGTGAAGCCGGGGCGGGTCGCTAGTTCAAAATAAAAAAAAGACACACAACAATATAAGAATCTCTTAAGCAGATATTACGTGAATGCACAATGAACTTATTGAAGGAATAAGGGCATAAATAAGTACTATAATTTTAAATATTATGTTATAATTAATATTATAATCAAATGTCAATAATTTACCTTGAACGTAAGCCATTCTTTATTGACCTTCAGTTTATAATCATTTATGCAACACTTACTTGGACGCCAAGTCCCTTGTAATAACGTTTTCCGGTAAGCAGCTATCAGTAAGCAGCTAACTAACTAGCAATAAGCAGCGGAATAATAAGAAAATTGGAGAATCATGAACTGATAGTTGAATGAAAGTTTTACTATATCCGTTTATATAATGTTGATGTTGAACCCAATTCCATGTTGATAAAAGTGTTGTATGTCTGTGTGTTTGTCCAGGGAACTTTTTATAGTATCTATTATTATTTCAAATTACATCTTTCAAGGAAATTCATTTATGTTTATGGTATTATGGTTTTATAAATGTGATAATGTCGGCAAGAGCTTGAGAAAAACTTGAAACTAAATTTTTTAAGTTCATAAAAGTTCTATCGTTAAAGACGAAAAACGGTTAAATCCTCTTCTTGCCAAGACTGTGAAGAGGTAGCGAGTAGATATTGAAATTATATAATATCTATTCAATTACGTTCCTGTCATCCGTTGGTGGTTTAAAAAATTATATGTCTATAGTGTACCCTGCTGCATAGTGATGGTTTCATTAACACTTACAAAAATTTCACATAAGAAGTAATGAAAAATCGAAGCGAACGCTTTAATCCGAAACGTTAACATCGTAAGGGATAATTAAATGTGTACGGAACTCTCAGAGTAAGAATTCAATTCGATTCCTTAATAAAACATACTGATAAATTGAAAGTGAGAGGCAATTACCATTAATTGTAAACTTTTATTTATTTATAGAAATATGTATTAATAATTCGAATATGACTCCGTGGCGCAGTTACTAAGGTATTGGCTTCGGCGTCGGGGGTCGTGGGTTCGATTCCGACTCGGGACAATTTGTGTGACCCACAGATAGTTGTTTCGCATCTGGGTGTTTGTCCGCGTGAAATTTATGTTTGTAAAACGTCCCTACAACACAAGATAATGTTATCCTAAAGTAAGGGCAATGTTTTTTAAAAAAATAAAAAAAGTGCAATCAAAATCGAACGTAATAAATAATACAATATAAAACGTTCGTTGGGTAGAACAGTTCCCGCCAATCTCTGCTAATATCTTATATAATGATGATTGTACAGATAAAAAATCATAGAACTCAATTTTTTTTTTGAAATCTATTTTTTGCGCCACAGTTATTAAGTGTGAAGTTTTTCTTCTCCCACTATAACTTTTTAGTCATTTGTTTAACGACGTTTTTTGCTTCCGCATCATCAAAGCAACCTTTATATTACCATTTAACGTCATGGTGTCAAAGTTACGTAATGTTTAATGACCTTTAGATTTAACGGACCCATTACGGGCTCTGAAATAAAAAAAATCGGTCTAATGCGTTCCGGGCTGTTATCTACAAAAACGGCAAAAAAATCAAGACTATGTTATATTTATTCCGTCTTAATATTTTAATAGTTTACAAAACAGATATGATGTAAGTATACGTATTTGATTCTTAACATAAAAATATTAGTAATATTAGGATTAAATACCGTTATCTTAACATATGACTAAACAACGACAGCAGATGCCTCAATTAACCTTTATCAATGTAAATTATTCGAAACAATGGATCTTAAACTATTGCAATACTTTTTTCCAGCATATTAAAATTAAACACGAAACATTTTAACAATGTACTAAATAACTTGCCCCATAGATCTTTCAATTACGCTTCAAACGTTATCTAGTACTTAAGCCAGCAGTGATTGGCTTACTTTGCATAGAAGTAATGAAACGTATTTATACGTTACAATAATCATTGCGGATTACATACGGTGCTCTAAAACTGCGCCTTCCAGAGCCCGAAATTCTTCTTCAGTCAAGCCCACCAGCTTGGAAGATTCTTCCCACAATAGCCGCGCAGAAACCTCGTCATAAGCACGCCCACTTGCAGCGGTCGGGTTGCAGTTGGCGAAGTAGCCTCCGCTCAACTTGCCAGCGCCGTCATCCAAGGCCACGTGGATTGCAGTCTGCGCACCTTCCCATGGCGTCTTGTACATGCTTTGGAAGCAGAACTTCACCACGGTTCCCACTAATGAGTTGATTCCGAAGAAAATGTTCGTTCCCACAGCTCCAGGATCAACTGCATTCACCACCACGTTAGTGGCCCTCAGCCTCCTAGCTAACTCGAAGTTGAATGATAGTAAAGCTATTTTGCTGTTGGCGTATACTTGAACTAACAGCCAATTGTTTGTTGCCGATATTCCGTTCAAGTTGTGAACGTCGATATGTCCTACGTGATGTAAGATCGATCCTGTGTTCACTATCCTACTCGGTTCCTGTTGCGTTCCGGTCTTCATTAAAAGCGGTAGCAGCAGAATGGTCAGCAGGAACTGTCCGAAGTAGTTCACCTGCATTACGTAGTTCATTCCATCCTCCGTTTTGCACTCCCCCCTCGCAGCTGTTCCGGCGTTGTTTATTAAAATGTCGAGACGCGATTCGTTCTTTAGAATATCTGATGTGAACTGTCTCACTGATTTCAAACAAGCAAGATCGAGGTGTTTGAACTCGACATTCTTGTTGCCGCTCTCTTCGACAATGATCTTCAGGGCTTCAGCTCCTTCTTTGGGAAACGGACAGGCGACGATGACCCTGGCGCCCCTCTTGGCAAATTCGATGGCTATCTGGAGGCCCATGCCGTCTGTTCCGCCCGTGACAAGAGCAGTTTTGCCGTTCAGGCGCTTCTGGGATTTGCAAAATGCATTCTTATTTTTTTCATATAATCTGATAAATATTGCCGCGATCACAATGGCCGCTACGGCCAGAATCACAAACATGTTTCTTACACTGTTCAGCTGACAACGTGCTATCGTGCCGAGTTTGTTGCTTACAATCAGGTCGCAATACGGCATCCATTTAATTTATCGAGCCTAATTGACACGCGGTCGCGTGCATTATACAATTAGAATAGACGATGTGATTCCAGTAAATGGAAAAGACAATGCAGCCAAGATAACTATTTAATAATTATTTTGAAGAAGAATCAGAAGAAGAAACGTATATTCACGGTCTAAGCACAATGGATACATAACAAAACATAAAAAAATAACTACAAAGTTTATAAAATAATTTTGGAAAAAATTAAAATAAATGCATAACAAAAAATAAGAAATAAAAAGTAACAAAACAAAAAACAACTTTTTGGCTAGAACAGTTTACGGATTTAACGCGTCTTTTTTTTTTAATTTCCCGACGTTTCGAACCCATTCCAGCGTTCAAGGTCACAGGACAGACTAAATTGTCAAACAACAATTCAGACAGTTCAACTAGTTTCATTTAATATGTATAACATTCGCGTAAAATCAAGTAGAAGTCAACATATTTAATAGTTAGTCAATCTACATTTATCGGTCATCTTTATAGTTGACAGCCATCTACTAAGTGAAAATATATATAGAAGGTTATAATCATAATTTAAAGAGGCTGGTCGGGATAAAAGAGTATGTAAAGAGTATTTTTATTTTTTCGTTTTCGATTCTTAAAAAGTTTAAAAGTCATCAATTTAATAATATCATTTACGAATCGAGCATTATTAGGGTTGGCTTACATAGATATATTTTTAATCTTTTATATTTATTTTTATGTATAGTTATAAATAAATATAAATATTTGAAAAAAAAAAAAACGTGTACGTAATGTACTTCTTTAGCGCAAGCAGCAAGAGAAAATAACAAAAATTTTTATCCCAATGTGCCCGTTCTCTTTGTTTGTGAAAAAGACATTAAATGCAAATGAACTAAGGGTTATAACTTAAGTATAACTTCAAAACAACAAACAAGCAATAAATATTTAAAATTGTTATATTTTTGCTACCTCTAGTAAGTTTCCACCAAATTAACATTGAAACAAAATTATTAACATTAACATAAATAGGCTCACTGCCGAATCTAACTATTAATGTTACGAGTCTAACCGTGTGGAGGTAAACATTTTGTCATTAAATGAATTAAAATTTACGTCAAAGAGAGCTTAATACATAAATATATTCATTTATATTACTAATAGCGTGCCAACGCACTGTAAAGATAGAGGTAAAAGAAGTACATATTATTTGACTGTCCTTGTCACACACTTCTTTACATAATTAAATGAGTTCTTTATTGCAAGCATTTATTGTATTGTAAAACCTTGCAATAATCTCAAATGGAAAGTTTTGCTTGAGAACTTTCTTAAACTAGCAAGGGACCAATTATCATAATTATGATCAACGTGTCACAACAGCGTTGTGATAGTTGGATCAATTATCTAACTCAAATAAGCCTTATTTCATACGAGTTTAAATATCAGTTGGCATGCACTTTTTGTGCAAGTTTTACACCTGCCCCTTTGTCACCTTGTCACATTAAAAAACAGACATAGTTCTAGAGCTGCAATAGATTTTGATCTTACTTAAGTCGACAGTACGATGCTTATATACAATATATTTTTAAGTCGTAGAATCCTAACTTACTTTACGTTCATTTATTATTTTGTCATAAGACAGCTGTTATGTTATAATACAATATCAAGAGATAAAACTATTTGACAACTGTATTGCTTATTATCTTTATTATGATAATATCATATACAATTGTACCTTTATGTAATTTTTTGTTACTTGTAGTTTTGTCTGGTGTACAGTAAGGCATATTATTTTATTCATTCTTTCATATCGAAGCTTACAGCTTACTTTCTCATACGACTATTCACTGAGGATGAGGAAAAAGACCTGTCTGACTAATTTGGATGAATATTTTTTTTTATTTGTTCTCCGAGCGCGTTTGTTATAAATACGGCATTTGTTACAAAAACCACTAATTTTCGCATTTCGAGTGCTTGCTGCAGCCATAACGTGTTTACTACTGTGTTTTAACTCAAATTTTTAAGTTTTGCCATTCCCAAGATCTTTTTAGGAACTACTGAATTATTCATATTAGTAATAGTATTATTAAAGTAAAAGTCAACATACCAACATTGTCATTTGTATCCAACACTTAAAAAATAATTTACACACTGTACATTAATTCAATCAATTGTCACTGTACATTAATGTCTATGTATACGCATCTGTTTTAAAATTTGCACATGTATTATTCTGACATAAGCGTACGCCAGATATTAAGATGTCTTTCAGTACTAACATACATTTAGTACTAACACCTAACGTATATCGTTCAGATATCACGTGTAAAGCCAAGGTTTTGGAACAAAACCTTGTAGTATTAAATTGTATGGAATGTACTTATATAGGCACCACATAATGCGGTTTAAGAAATGAACTGAATGCAAATGACTGTATAGTACTCGAAGAAATGCCTCTTTAACAGACAACCGTCTTTTTCTTCATAAAAGTATACGCCATTAAATAAATATCGCTGAATAAGTTGTTATCGACGTTTTCTTTATAAGTTGATATACAGAAAAAAGTTCCATCGAGACTAAAAAATCTACGCTGAACATTCACTACCGTAACTGGGGGATACGGTTATTAAACTTGGATTACTAATTAAACACATTTTGTTGTAATACAAGAAAATGAATACTATGAACTATAAACACATGAAAACTATTAACAATAAACGCTAACGCTATATTCTATCAGTTTCTTGAAAGTCTTCGAGAAGTCTTATGGATTTAGGAGTAGCATCGCCTAGTGTGGTGGTCAGAGAAAAATTAAAACGTAATACGTACGCTCCTTCAGAATAAAGTTATTATTATTGCTTATACATCAAAGGACACTTTCCCGTGCTACGTAACATGATTATTTTTGCCTCCTTCTTGCTCTTTGACAACTGTTTCACCCAGAGCCTTGTCCAGCTTTGCTTCAATGTGTGAAACCAAACGAACAGTTACTCTATGTTTAACGGTACTTATGGCCCCACTTACCATGAGGCGAAATGGCATAAGACATTATAAGGTAAAAAGTTACTTCAAAAGGGTACCATTCATGAAATCTTTAATTTCATCGTCCGTGAGGCTCACCAGCCTGGCGGATTCCTTCCACAGTAGAAGTGCAGTCTCCTCGTCATAAGCACGCCGGTTAGCTACGTTCACGTTACAGTTGGAGAAGTACCCTCCGCTCAACTTTCCAGCCCCCTCGTCCAGAGCCACGTGGATAGCAGTCTGCGCGCCTTCTAATGGGGTCTTGTACATGTTACGAAAGCAGAACTTTGCCACGATTCCAACTAATGAGTTGACTCCATAGAAGATGTTCGTTCCCACAGCTCCAGGATCAACTGCATTCACCACCACGTTAGTGGCCCTCAGCCTCCTAGCTAACTCGAAGTTGAATGATAGTAAAGCTATTTTGCTGTTGGCGTATACTTGAACTAACAGCCAATTGTTTGTTGCCGATATTCCGTTCAAGTTGTGAATGTCGATTTGTCCTATGTGATGTAAGATCGATCCTGTGTTCACTATCCTACTCGGTTCCTGTTGCGTTCCGGTCTTCATTAAAAGCGGTAGCAGCAGAATGGTCAGCAGGAACTGTCCGAAGTAGTTCACCTGCATTACGTAGTTCATTCCATCCTCCGTTTTGTACTGACCCCTAGCCGCTGTCCCCGCGTTGTTTATTAAAATATCGAGACGCGATTCGTTCTTTAGAATATCTGATGTGAACTGTCTCACTGATTTCAAACAAGCAAGATCGAGGTGTTTGAACTCGACATTCTTGTTGCCGCTCTCTTCGACAATGATCTTCAGGGCTTCAGCCCCTTCCTTGGGGAACGGACAGGCGACGATGACCCTGGCGCCCCTCTTGGCAAATTCGATGGCTATCTGGAGGCCCATGCCGTCTGTTCCGCCCGTGACGAGGGCAGTTCTGCCGTCCAGGCGCCTTTTCGATTTGCATACCGAATTTGTATGCTTCTGATAAAAGCTGATAAGAACCGCTATGGCAACAACGGCCGTCACCACGTACAGAATCACCGGCATTTTGATTTAGAACTCCGGCGACGACGTGCTACTGGCCCGAGCGTGCTTCCAAGAGTCTGACAAAGGTACGACGTCGGTTCATTTAAAAGAGCGTCGCGGTCAGCCGTCACGCTACGCAAACAAAAGTAAAAGATAATGAACATTTTAGAGAAAAAGCAAAAAAAATTGATTTATTTAAGCGAGGTCTCCTGGCATTGTAAATATAACAATAAAACTAAAATAAGATTAATGCTTTTATAGAGATAATAACGAAATGGAATAATATTTCTTATTATATTAAATACGATAGTCTTTGTTGTATCAATAAACTAGTTTATTTTGAAGCATTGTGTAAAATCATTTGAACAACTAATTATAACTTTACATTTATTTATATAATTAAGAACTTCCGTGACACCGATGACTTAAAAATGGATAAGGTTTTTCAATTAGTCTTGTACCAAATTAATCTTCAAATCCCAAATTAAGGTTTGCACAGTCAATAGACTAGCTTTTTTTATTGCTTATGTTACGTAATTATTTTAAACCATTCCCTTTACGATTTAATAATCTTTTATGTATAATATATAAATTGAATTTACTGATAAACACCTGAATAAATTCACTGTGTAAAGACGATTGTTAATTAAACACCAGATCACCTTACTGGTCATGCAATTTGAACAAATAGACGCGTACCGGGTGTCCGCTTTGATTTGTATTCGGCATTCCAACAGATCGGTGGTAGGGCCACGCAGCAGCCTCGGCTGTTGCACGAATGGGCAGGCTCGTCCGGGTAACTACCACGACCTCACAGAAGGCCGGCGTAAAGTGGAAGTATGACAAATACTTTCGCGTTTCGTCTGGTGAGTGAGGTAGCCGGAGCCTAATAACCTTCCAAAAAGGTTCACAACGCATCTGCAAACCCTCGGGTGTAGCAGATGTCCATGGGCGCTGGTATTCACTTAACATCAGGTGAACCTCGTTTGGCAGCTTTTCACATAAAAAAAAATCATTCAACACAGCTAAATTATTTACCTGGGTCGCTAGACTGCAAAAAATCATTAAATAATGAAAAAATTTATTAATTAGGTCCACCAGAAAGTTTATTTTTGATACCTAAGAATGACGCATTAAATGATAAATCTGAGCTACTAGCGAATTTCTAATACGACATATAGAATATAGTACAAAATATAATAGATGTATAGCCGGAAACCAAAACATAAGAAGTTAATTATATATACATATATTCTTACGAAGTAAGGGACTTTAATTAAAATTACGCAGTTTTTATTTTATTTCCTCCTTATAGCTACTTAATTGGAATTAATATAACCGGAATATACCGGAATATATATCATTATATTGCACAGTAATAATTTAAAAAAATGAGTGAAAGTAATAATAAATATTTCAACCAAGGTTGTGCTTAATTCTTCGATCGGTTTTTACTGACTTTTTAATTTCACGGCCTTATGCTACACAAACTTAACTTTTTTTATTATTACTTAATTTTTTTTTATTTTGCATCGAACCGAACACTATATTAAATTAGCTACGTTTTTATAGATAATGGTACGGACCCTTCGTGCGTCAGTCCGACTCGCATTCACTTGTTATTTTTAAGTTTTGTGAACACATACATACGGCAGCTAAAATTTTTTTATATAAATTGAAAGAATTCCCATATGTGGTTTTCGTCGGTACGCCATAACATTCATGATTCTTCATCGAGTTTCATGGTTCAAACAACACTTAAAAGCATGTTTGCCGACATTGACAAAAGTAGAAAAACGTTAAGGTTTTCAAAGAAAAAGTTTCGGTTAATACTTTAATAAAGAGCGAAAGAAAGAAACTCAACGTCATCGAAAATAAAAAATAAGACATCCAGGAAAAAAATGAAGTACATTAAAATTATAAATAATATACTATCATTATTATACATTTCGACAGGCAGTGTGATGTTAAATGGGTGTTCACTCGGCTCCTGCTGCGAGGTTAACCACATCGCCGGTTTTCAGTGAACCCTATTAGACTACGAGTCGGGGAAAAATATATACTTATAAAAAAACTGTACGTGTAGAGTAACGATTTACACTCGGAGTCATAACGTTAATATAAAAGATAAAATAAAAATACAAACAAATCAATAAAAAATTAATAAAGAGGAAACACTAAAACATTAATGTAATTATGAAATGAAACGTAAAAACAAAATTTTATGATACAAATATTTAACGCAACATGGCACAAGGAAATGGCTGCGTTATACATACCTAATTTATATTTTGGTCTAAAAGAAGATAGATTTTTTATATAATTTTAAATGTGTATCTAGATTGATCACGTCAAAGGAGGTGGGATGTTTAAATTTTTTATAGTGCTATTCTCTACACTTAAGATTGAACATTAAATTTGTAGAAAGAGTACGAAAAGATTGTCGCCGCTGTGGGAATCTAACCCAGGTCTTCGGTACTCGCGGCCTGACGCTCTATCCTCTGAGCTAAACCATTGATAGCCACAGCGACGAAAATCTTAACGCCTTTTATCTATATTGTTATTTAGCATTTGAATTTTTTTCTACAAATTTAAGGTAGGATGTTATTCCAACATTTAGCAGCGCTGTAACAAAAACTGCCTCGGATTGCTGTCGAGTAGGGTTTAGGGCAAAGTAGTCTTTCACAGACAGTTCAACTACGGCGTGTTGAATATTGAAGTTATTCAAATAAATGTAAGGGCTTTCGCGATTTAATAATCCCGAAGAGTAATGTGGCAAAGTGAAGTTGGCCACTTGCCTTCATTTTCAGCCAGTTTGCCTTATTTATGTAAGGTGTTACGTGTGCTCTAGGAGGAATTGTATAGCAAAAACGTGCGCGGGCATTCTGGACACGTTGAATGAGTTTTTGGGTCCGAATTAATAGGCATTCTCCATAGACTGTAGCCCCGTAATTTAGTTTAGATAAGTCTAATCTTGTCTTGTGACAATTTGTTAAATAAATCCATTGATTTCGCGATAACACATTGATTCGCCTAATTGACCACAGTACCTATGTGTGTACACAGCTACTGTAACCAATTAGCAGAAAATTTTGTAGCATTATTGAGTTCAGAGCATTTTTTGCTCTGGCTCTTCGTGTAGAATACTTCTTGTTTGTATAAAAAAAAATGGCTACAGAGCTAAAGAATGCACTGATGATAAAAATATTTCCTCCATTGTATTTACAGTTATTTGTCTTATACTCATTAGACGCTGCTACACGCGATTATTGTCTTTTGTTCGTATTATCCGAGTTAGGATCTACAATGCAAAAGAAGTCATTAGTTGACGGTTAGTAAAAATAAACATGGGAACCACGAATACACTGTCATGAAATAATTTACGATATTTTAGTCAATTGTGTGTTGACAAATTAAAGTGAAAGTAATCTGAAGGACAGGACCATTATTAAGATATGCTAATATTAATTAAGAATTAATATAAAATGATATAGCTGCTACAACTAGGACACAAGTTAAGAAGTAAAAAAATTAACAGAACAAATTTTTACAATATTATTTGATTCCAAATATCCACAAGCTCATATTGAAAATTATCAAAAAAAATATGATAAGTAATATTTGCTCTAGGTCAGTGACCGATGAAGCAACAGTTATTAGAATTTATCTGTTATTGGCAGAGATGGATTTGATCCCTTTGTCGTCCTAGGCCTATACAAGATTGCTGCCCTCCTACTCGCTGTAAAACATGAAAAATTAAATGAGGCATTGGAATAAAAAAAAGGAAAATGGTACTTAATTATCATGGTCACATGATTTATTACAATTTGTACGGAATATCGTGTACGCGAAGGAGCGAGAGGCGGGTGGCGCGACTACTAAAAAGAAGCCCACCAAGTTTTGCCCCCCCAAATTTTGCCGGCCTAGGCCCGGGCCTCCTTGGCCCATAGGGGACTCCGCCCCTATTTATTGGTACTCTTACAGCTAGGAGTCTTTTTAATGTTAAAAAAAATAAACAATAGCTAAAACATTCTATGAACGTAACTTCGAAGGAAATAAGAGCAACCGTAATTGAAAAGGCCTATTAATCTTTTTAAGAATGCGTGCATGGGGGATCATGTGTATCTTTGCAAAAGTAAAATATTGTGTTGCAGAAAGTTTGTGTTTCTTACAGATATTGTTTTATAACTTTTTATGCATGCCTATTATACTTTGAAACAATGACATGACACTGCCATGCTGTTTGCACGAACTGTTCAAGCTAAGCACATAATATTCCAGCCGGCGAAGGTGGCACAGTCTTTGCTGCTGTTCTGCCAGGGCCAGGGGCAGCTGACGTCACTTCCGCCGCCGGGCGTCGAGCGCCGGATGTCGCGCGCCATGTCGATGGAGGAGTACGACAGGCCCAACATCCGGCGGCTCTCTTTGACGCCGCACGCCGCGGAGTCGCCGCCACGCAGGCCCTAGGCCCCCGGACCCCCAGGTACTATTCACGCTGAACGGAGGGCGCGACTGCTGCGACATTAAGTACCGTTCACACCGGACGGGATGCCTCGGGGCGTCATACCGCATAACGCGTACCGTATTTGTTCACATCGGAATCGATTCACGTCCATATTCAATATTCTTTCTATCTGTAGATATGGTTACAAGCGATAAGTAATTAACATTGGCTCCATTTGATATACGTCAAAATTATATCTCCAATAACCAAGTCTACAGATAGATAGAATGTTGAAACCGGCCGTTAAACATTTTCTTATTAGCGTTGTTTCATGATATGTGTATTCAGTAAGACGCTCCCCTTCGGTGTGAATTGCATTCAACAGTTACGTAAAATTTTTTTAGTGCAATATTATACTTTCTAGCATGATAAGTACTGTTTAAGTTTTTAATCTTTATTTATGTTTACTTCGTGTAAGCCTTTACTGAGATGGTGGTTGAGGTAGCTTTGTAAATGGATTTAGGAGTTATCTTTACAAGATTAATGGTTTAAATTAATCAACATACAGTGGGTAAATGGCCTACATGGCGCTAACTGCAAGCGCTATCTTGAACGAAGATAATGTGCTATATTTGTATTATATCTGCACCTATATGGAGACCTAGAATTTTATATACTGTATACTAAAATTTTATTTATACTGTATACCAAAAAAGGATAATGTTCAATAGAACATGATGAGTGAATACTAGATAAGATTGTTTTTTACCAAAGAGTTGCTTAAAAGATGATACAAATTCGGTTATCGTATATTGAAAAACCTTCAATAATTATACAGAGAGACTGGTTATAGGTGTAAAAGATTTGAAGGGGCGAAACTATAGCTCAACTGTCAAGCAATGTGTGGGGTACCCGATTCAAAAATCAATGGTACCGAAGATTAAAACATTTTCTTAAAATCGTCGATTTTGTCGGAAAAACAGCAATAACATAAAAGTAAAATTTACGGGTTTTTATGAAAACTAACATTTTTTTAAAGTTAAATGGCTAAAAATGTTGAGTTACGTTATGCGAAAGTAGTGATATCATATCATAGTAATCAACAAATAGTTACATGTTATTAAATATTATGAAAATATTTATATATTTATTTGGATAAATTATTCGACGATAACTTCTATGTCTTCGGTAACATTGATTATTGTTTACGGTATTCCATTTATTGTTTGACAGGACATGAGTTACAGTTTTTCCGCTCAAAATGTTTTACACATATTTCCAGTTCACTTATATTTCTTCTTTTTAAAACATTCTATTAAATTGCTTTACATTTTTAAGTTGCTCAACAAAGGTTATTTGCTAACTTTACGAAACGAGCGTAGTACGAAGGACACAATAGATAATAATCATCGTTAACTCGTTAGACGGAAACTTGTTTATCATAAACAACCTATATAAATCAACAAAGCACTTTGTCCAGTAGTTAAAAGAAACATCTTTACAAATTGAAAGCGTCCAGAAATAATTCTTATAAAACTGCTCATTAGTTTCCTATTCTTAAGACCTTCGCGATTGCCCTTTGTTTGATTGTTTATCTATTGCATTATTCATTTCTTACCGTTATGTATATTTGCTTGTGTCTTATATAGTTCTCGATTTTATACTGAGACTATGTATCATATTCATATCAGGGCCCGACATTGCAACAGTTACCATGGAAAACTAAATGTTGTTCTGAAAAGAGCTTGGTTCTTAAGCGTACATTTCATATGGGCGATGGAATCCCGAGAAGGAATTGTTGGTATTGAGCCATTCCATTCTCATGTTGTCATAATTACGAAGGAAAGAAACTTGACATCAGCAAATGGCTAATAAATTCGTACCTAAAGGTGTTAATTTCCTTTCGCTTTCCTGTTTTCAATATGTCGACAGATTTTTTTTATTTTTTTTTTGTAAATTATGTAAAAAAAGTTAAGGAAATTTAGTGTATTCATTCTATTTTATTTAATACGTTTAGCTGTGTAAAAGTTGTTTGTGGCGTTTAACTATTATAATAAATGTATGTTTATTGAATAAATGTTATTATTGAATATTATGTCTTTGATTAATGAGCCTCCGTCAAGCTAGAAATTACATAATTACTCTAAATTAATTGTAATATTTATTATTGCAGTTCACTTTAATTACAGCATAGTTAATGCAAATGACAGAATATATATATAAAAACACCAGTTTATATTTTCTTATTATTACGTCGGTAAGATCTAAAAATATTATGCATATTTCATTACTCAGTAATTTGTATCTAAATGTAATTTATAAAATACACGATTTACAAAAAAAAAAAAAAACAAACCGAGCAAAGCTCGGTCTTCCAGGTACAATAATATAAGGTGAAGAACAAGAAACAATTTCTATCGAGGTTATAAACAACCTACACGAAAAAATTACTACGGTAAGTAAATAATACGGTCTTTAAATTAATATCACTTGAATTACTTATTATATAATACGAGATGTAATAAAGAATGCAATGAATACTTTAATACAATACACGCTAATGCTATATTCTATCCGATTCCTGAAAATAGTCAGGAACCCCCATAGGACTCGCATCGCCACTTGTGAGGGTCGAAATGAAATTTTAATAACGCTCCTTCAGTATAAAGTTATTAATTATTCAAACATTAAAGGACGCTTTTCCACGTCACCTTAAAATAACATGTTCGTGTCCCTCTTTCTCTGTGACATTTGTTTTAACCAGCGTCTTGTCATGTTTTGCTTCAATGAGTAGAAACCGAGCGAGCAGTTAGTTTTTTTAACGGTACTAATGCTACCACTTACCGTCAGGCGGAATCGTAGTTAACGTAAGACAGTTAGTGATAAAAATTTACTCCAAAAGAGTTCCATTCATGAAATGTTTGATTTCATCGTCGGTCAGGCTCACCAGCCTGGCGGATTCCGTCCACAGTAGTTGTGCAGTCTCCTCGTCATAAGCACGCCGGTTAGCTACGTTCACGTTACAGTTGGAGAAGTACCCTCCGCTCAACTTTCCAGCCCCCTCGTCCAGAGCCACGTGGATAGCAGTCTGCGCGCCTTCTAATGGGGTCTTGTACATGTTACGAAAGCAGAACTTTGCCACGATTCCAACTAATGAGTTGACTCCATAGTAGATGTTCGTTCCCACAAGTCCAGGGTCAACTGCATTCACCACCACGTTAGTAGCCCTCAGCCTCCTGGCTAGCTCGAAGTTGAATGACAGTAAAGCTATTTTGCTGTTGGCGTATACTTGAGCTAGCAGCCATTTGTTTGTTGCCGATATTCCGTTCAAGTTGTGAACGTCGATATGTCCTACGTGATGTAAGATCGATCCTGTGTTCACTATCCTACTCGGTTCCTGTTGCGTTCCGGTCTTCATTAAAAGCGGTAGCAGCAGAATGGTCAGCAGGAACTGTCCGAAGTAGTTCACCTGCATTACGTAGTTCATTCCATCCTCCGTTTTGTACTGACCCCTAGCCGCTGTCCCCGCGTTGTTTATAAAATATCGAGACGCGATTCGTTCTTTAGAATATCTGATGTGAACTGTCTCACTGATTTCAAACAAGCAAGATCGAGGTGTTTGAACTCGACATTCTTGTTGCCGCTCTCTTCGACAATGATCTTCAGGGCTTCAGCCCCTTCTTTGGGAAACGGACAGGCGACGATGACCCTGGCGCCCCTCTTGGCAAATTCGATGGCTATCTGGAGGCCCATGCCGTCCGTGCCGCCCGTGACGAGGGCAGTTATGCCATCCAGGCGCCTTTTCGATTTGCATACCGAATTTGTATTCTTCTGATAAAAGCTGATAAGAACCGCTATGGCAACAACGGCCGCCACCAAGTACAGAATCATTTTGATTTAGAACTCCGGCGACAACGTGCTACTGGCCCGAGCTTGCTTCGAAGAGTCGGGTAACGTACGACGCCCGTTTATTTTAAAGAGCCTCGCGGTCAGCCGTCACGCTACGCAAACAACAGTATAAGATAATGAACATTTTACAGAAAAAGCAAGAAAAAACTTTGATTTATTATATAAGATATAACAAATTTGAAGAACGTTTCTTATTATGTTTTATTGGTTATGATTGTATTGTTATAAGACAGGATCAATAAACTAGTTAATAAGGAAGCATTGTGTAAAATCAATTGAACCACTAAGTATAAGTTTATATTTATATATATCATTTACATCTTCCGTGACATCGTTGATTTAAGCAATGAACAAGTTTTTTCCAATACACCTGTTATTCCAAATTAAATTTCATTTCGACAGCTTCTAGACTACCATGTTTTACTTGGTTATGTTAAAAATTTCTTCACGATTTAATAACTTTTTATCTATGATACATAAATTGTATTATTTACTTTTAAACGTCTTTATATTGTGAATACGATCGTATTCACAGTATAAAGACAATATTAATTAAACAGTCACCTGCAGGTCATGCTAATTTAAAAAATTGTCCCAAAAACCCGTTACACCGAAGTATTGAAATAAATTCAATTCACAGCTATGGAAATTATTTACTTGGAACCTAAGGGTGCAAATAATTCATTAATTCATGAAAAACTCAATAAGTTAGGTCCACGAGTAAGTTTATTTTTGATACCTATGAAGGAAGCATCAGTTGATATTTTTCGTTACTTCATACAGAACTGATAATATTTAGTATACTATATATTCTCTGCATTAACACCATAACAAGTTAATTATTGTTACGTAATTATATTGCTAGTTACGAAAGAAGGCACGTTTATTTAAATTACACTGTTTTTTGTTGCCTATATGAAATATTTAAATGAAGAAAAGATCACAACCAAGGTTGGGCTTAGTAATTTCCCACCCGAACAGTTTACATAATTATAACTACTTTTGTTTAAATTTTTCAAGAAGTTCGACCACAGAGGAAACCTCTAACGCCGTGTTTTTTATCGTTCTAAAAAACGAACGATAAAAAACACGGGGTTAGAGGTTGCACGCTTGCCTAACAGAGAAGTCATTTGCTTAGCCATTGTTTGTGATAAGTTGACAGGCGAGCAGAGGTTCGCCTAATGTTAAGTGATTACCGCCGCCCATGGACATCAACACCTCACGGTTTAGCAGAGCAGAGGCGTTGTCAACTATGAAAACCCCAAACCCTTCTGGCTAGCCCACCGGTTCTGCGTCAGATGAAGCTTTAATAGTCTCGGGACTGAAAGAAAAAACATGAGTTGATACACAAGGCTACACACACTACGAAAATAGTGGGCCCCGGTTGCCTTTTTCATCAGACGAAAAGTGAAAGTATATTAACGCCAGTCTTCTGTGAGGACATGGTACTTACCCGGAGGAACCTACCAATGCGTGCAACAGCAAAGTCTATTCTGTGGCCCTATCACTGCTAAGCTATAGCCGTTACTCGTATTGTTTTATTTAAATCATCAATTTGACCGAATTCAATATAAGTAACAATAAAAAGAATTAAATTACACGAGTAGATAGTTGTAAATAATTACAATCGAATGCAGGAAAGTCATTATCATCATCATACACATCAGGTACGGTATAGCACTTCGGCTCCCTAGTCATGACATATATATAGTTAAAATAATATTTTAGTCATGATTATCAGTAACAAAACCGTTATCTACATAGAAACCTTAGATCTTGACAGTGGTCAAAAGTTAAAGATAGTGTACGTAAGATAGTAGTGCACGTAAGTTCCGAAAAGAGATACCTTTTTTGGTTACCTTACTTGGATTGAAACTCGCGATCTCAAATAACAGATTTCTTGGGGATTTAGGCCACAATGTATATCTTTTAATAGAGTAACAGCCAAATCATGAATATGCAGTTCCCATGGGGTAAATAACTTTTATAGATCATCATTTCAATAGTATATATATCTGCTCGTTAGTTAGAATTCATCGCTATCGTTTCGTTTTATAATCGATTGTATGCGTAGTCTGCTACTTTAGCGGTCGACACTTATTTGTAAATCTTAAACATTATTCGCAAAAAAACGCAAGTACTATTCTAAAATATATACACACCTGTTGGTTTTTCTCAGGTTTGGTCTTGATCATTGAAACGATTTTTCCTTCCAAGGAACATTAGAATTCAAGAGAAGCCTAAAATGAATTAAATAAGTTTAGCTTTGTCATTCAAAGTATCATAGTACTGTGAAGCACCGATCGAATTCCTCGCCGCTCATCTTCACCAGCCTCACGGACTCTTCCCTCAGTTGCTTCGACACTTTCCCGCTGTGCTCACCCCGCTTGTGTCCTATCAGCTTGCAGTTTTTAAACAGCTCTCCGCTCACTTCACCAGCCCTTTTGTCCAGCGCAACGTGTACAGCCGTCTGTGCCCCCTCCCACGGAGTTTTGTACACGTTCCGAAACAAAAACCTTAAGAATCTCCCTTTGAGGCTACCCATGCAGTTGAATATGTCCGTTCCCACAGCGCTTGGGTCTACTGTGTTGATGACGACGCTAGATCCGCTCAAGCGACGGGTCAGCTCCCGAGCGTTTTTATAGCGGCGACGCCTTCTTCAGGATATGGACAGGCGACAATAACTCGAGCGCCTCTGTCAGCAAAGTCAATCGCAATCCTCAGATCCATGCCGGCGGTTCCACCTGTTATGACCGCAGTTTTGCCGTCGAGCTTTCTTTTCGACTTGCACATGGCGTTAGTGTTCTTCTGGTAGATACCCACCATGAAAGCCAGTAGAACCACCACAACGACCACGTACAAAACCGCGAGCATTTCGATGCGAACGCTCCAATACTGCTCGGCAATGGTACCCTCTGCAGAACACGTTATTGTTCGTTAATCATCAGAACTGATGAGGCGTGAATCGTGAACACTGCAGTTCGAACATACATAAAATGTATTTTAGCACAAACTGCAAAGTAAACGAACTTAGATCGGCGTTTAGAAGCTGGCCATGGCCTGCCTATAGACTTGGTAATGTGTTGCTATCGAGATGTCCTTAGCTTTCTAATAATATGAAAATCTTATATTATGATGACGATAACAAAAATTAAGTATAGGAAACAAAATCATTATGACGCGAGCTCTGTAATTCGAATCGAGATGAATACACACACAATGCACAGCCGCATTACAAGAAATATTATACATATTATTATTTTTTACAGACATAATGCACATTTGTCTATTAAATGTGTTTAAAATATGTATGTACATAGATATTTTACTTAAAATAAAAAATAAGGTTCCTTCTGCGTTCCATAGACTTACACTCAAATACGAAGTGTTTTAATTAAAAACGTTAAAATGATATTCACGTTATAAAGATAAACTACACTGTCCCCAAAATGCTAGCAGCACTCTAAAGAGCTCCATTAGAATTGCCGATACTAAATTTGCCTAAAATCGGGTAAATTTTCTTACAGTGGTAAGTTTATCTGCGAGCTTACGCAACGACAGCTCGGCGCATGCACTTTTACTTGCCGCTATTACATAACACGGGCCTATCGCCTATGCCATTGCACTCTGCGTATGTACAAACTAGCGACCCGCCCCGGCTTCGCACGGGTGCAATGTATTATATATAGAGACCTTCCTCTTGAATCACCTTGACGACTTTGTTTTATACTATGTAGTGATACTACGGCGGGCCAGTGGCCCAGGCCGATAAAGAAAGACTACGCGTCTTGCGGTAATACGAGATAATTAATACGAAAATTAATTAATTACATATACGAAATTAATTATATATTATTAATTATATATTATTTATACGAAGGTAATACGAAATAATTGATGCGTCAATTTTAAACCCAACTATTTGCATAAAACAATGATATTATATATAAATACTAATTAGATATGACACTAGCGCATCGAAACTGAGGCACTCAGACAAATTACACCAATTGGTGTAGTAAGATTTTATTTCTATGGACTGCTATAGTTTTCACATACGTTGTTTCATCTGTCACATCCACATATATGTCATATAATATAAAGTGGAACAATCTTTAAACGCCACGCAGTACGGAAATGCGGCATTTATATTATTAAACAGTATTGGTATAAAATTCTAGAGTATGTAATATATGGAAATTATAATATTTAATATTATTTTTTTTTAATTTTCCGGTCAAACTGTCCATTTTCCTCGGCAGGACACTTGTCACAACCCCAGTGATAAGTCTTGTAGTTTCCGTCCATTCAACCATTTTGATGTAAATACTCAGTTTGTATCTGTCAAGTGGATTTTTTTTAAAAGATCTTTGTTTTAATTGGTACTGGTTAGAGGTGAATTACTTAACTGGTAGGATTATGATTGTCATGATCTAATTGATTGTCATGTCCCATTCTTTACGATTGTCATGTCTTAAGCATTTATGCAGTCTTAGGAAGTAAGTGTACTTGGCTCCGTAAAGGTCCTTTCATCTTTCTTTAAAGTAGACTTTTTATTTGGAAGATCTGACAGTAGTTCGTTCCTGATAAAGCATCACTACTGATCCCTTTCCCAATTAAGCCGTTAAACCAGGGGTTCTTTTTGTTTTCGAGAAATTGACGGCCTTCTCAGATTCACCAATGATCTCAAACACACAGAAAACATCTAGAAAAGTAAGAATGCGGAACCTTGGCGACATTTCTACAGGAACCCTGGGGTTCCGCGAAGCCACAAAACATGTGCATACTCACATGTGACATGATTTTCGTATAGTAAAGTCTTACCTTAATTTGAGAAGACTCGTACTTGTTACATTAGAGACTAAAATTAGTGAAAAAAAAAGGAAAAATGAACAAAAAGATACTTAGTAAGATTTCTGATGCCTATCTTTGACTACCCTGTTGTTGTGCTTGAGGGGAACGCTTGAAATTTGAAGGGGGATTGTAGTAGAAATAACTATAATATCTACTGCAACAAGTTGAATTTCCCGAATAATTTATAGAATATACATTTAAAATTTTTAATTTATACATTACGTTTACTATTGAGTAGGCTACAAGACTTACTAGGTTAGCGTTTAGTTCGAAAATGTGATAAATTTTTGAAGGAAAATGGTTCATGGTCATTAAAAAAGTTGGGTTATGATGCAAGATATGGGCCTATTTAGATCTGGCTACTACAGAATTTTTTCTCTAATCACTCAGTGCCTTGTCCTCGTATTCGTGACCAGGTCATGGGTTCAGATCTCACTTCGTTTTCCGACGAAGGTTTCTATAAGTTTCTGAGAAGCAACAGTGAGTATATTAACCTCTTTGAAAAGATCTCTGAGTGAATTCCGGGCTCCGATATTGTAGATTGCTCGGACAGCTCTTTTTTGAAGAATAAATATAGAATTTATATCTGATGCAATACCCCACAACAAAATGCCGTACGACAAGATGCTGTGAAAATAACTAAAGTAAACAAGTCTGGCAGTGTCGATGTCTGTTAGCTGCCTAACCCTTCTAATCGCAAAAACCGCGGAGCTCAGCCTAATCGCAAGAGATGATATATGGGGACTCCACTGGAGCTTTGAATCTACTGTAATTCCCAGAAATACAGCAGACTCAACTGGATTAATGGGTACGTTATTTAATATTAAACTAAAACTTTTCCTTCTTATACTGGGAAGGGTAAAAAGAATACATCTGGTTTTTTGGCATTTAATACCATATTATTAATAGTAAACCAGTGGAGTGGTTTTTGAAGGATAGTTTTATGGTCTACGCAGTCAAAGGCTTTTGAAAGGTCACAAAAGACACCTATTGCATCTTGTGACCTTTCCCAGGCGTTATAAATATGTTTGACAAGTGCGACTCCCGCATCTGTTGTCGATCTGCCTTTAGTGAATCCATATTGCTCATCGTGAAAGATTTTGTTCACATTAAAATGAACTAAAAGTTGATTTAATATTAGCTTTTCAAAAACTTTACTAAGAGATGGCAATATGGAAATAGGTTTAAAGTTGCCTGGATCATTTTTATCACCACTTTTGTAGACAGGTATTATCTTACTAAATTTCATAAGATCTGGAAATATTCCAGAATCTATGCAGTTGTTAAAAATAGAAGCCAAATGTGGTGCAATATATGGCATTATTGTGCTCATTAATTTATGGACATACCCCATAAATCCTCTGTATTTTTAAGATTAATAGAATTCAAAACTTTTATAATATCATAAGTATCTACGTGATTAAATTTAAATGTGTGTAGGCAAGGGGTAACATTATTTCTTAAAACATTAATTGCGTCTGCGGGAGATGATTTTAATGTACGTGTGACATTAACCGCAATGTCTGAAAAATAGCTTTCGAAACTACTCGCAATTTCCTTATCTGATATTATGGGAGTATTACCTATAACTAGTTTTATAGGTTCCCTGAATATCTTGGTTCTTCCAGATATACGGGTAATGATGTCCCATGTGGCTTTAGTTCTATTGTTTGAATTTATTATGCTATTTCTTATATAAATAGATTTTGCCTGAATACAGACTTTTTTAAATATTTTTGAAAATGTTTGTACCCGTTTAAGGAAGTTAGGATCGTGATTCCACTGCCTCATACTATATAATTCATACAATGAATCCCTACTTTTGTATATACCCACTGTTGCCCAGTCAATAAATTTTAATTTTGAATTCTTAACAATTGTGCGTGATTTAAAAGTATCATTATAAGAAGATATGAAAAAGTCAACCATTGATCTATAAGAGTCATTAGGGTTATTGACTCCTATATCTTTATTTAACATATGATGTTCCACTTTATCTCTAAAAGCATTTATTCTATTAGTAGTGACTGGTCTACACTTGATCTTAAGTTTGCTTGTATTACCTTTTTCATTTATTGAAAATTTTAGCCCAAAGTGATCGGAGCACAGATGATTTATAACATATTTATCATATACATCACTGTGACAGAATACATTATCTATACATGAGGAGGATAAGTTAGTAACACGAGTTGGTTCATGAAAAAGATTTTTAAGTTGAAATGAGTTAAATAAATTTAAAAGTCGTTTACTGAGTTGTGTTACTTGTAATAAATCCACATTAAAATCCCCACAAACTATTAATGATTTACTACTTGGACATAGTTTTTTAAGAACTTCATCCATTACACACTCAAACTGATCGAAATCACCTGAGGGGGGGCCGCATACTATAATATACTGTTGACTCTCAACGCAGGATAATTCAATAGAACGTTCGACAGAGTGTGCCACTATATCCTGTCAATTTTTACAGACTATATCAGTTCTAACTAATACAAGAGAGCCACTTCGATTAGCATTTACTCTTACGAACGAACTTAACAATTTATAATTTTCTATATTAATAATATTACAGTGTAACCATGTCTCTGTGAAGCAGATGACATGTATATTAAATTTCCTAAGGAACAATTCAATTTCGGGTTCTTTGCCGCCTAAGCCTTGTATATTTTGATGCACAATATTTAATTTAAGTGGCCTAGGCGTTGTCTCAATGTTTAGTTCAAACTAACATTGTTTGCTGAAAGATTATTACATAATAAAATATTCTTGGTTGTACTATGTACAATTGGGTTTTGTATATTATAGGCTACTAGAGTAGCAATTCGTTTCTTATAATATAGTGGCATATACAAAGTATTTTTTGTCACCTTAAAACTAGATTTAATAAAATTATTTAAGTCAAAATAAAAGAAAGCGTCACTATGACGGTGAGTTATGTTATATATAGTCATGTTAAGACTATATATGTATTTATTTTGTTCCTCTGAAAGGAAAGAGGAATATGGAAATGAGCATATTATAAATTTGCACTTATTTTTATAATGTAAGTTGAGTAATATTTCCATATTATTAACAATTTCCTGTTTCTTTACAGATGAACTATCCCCATGAAGTACAATAACAATAGTACAATAGTACTATTGTCATTTAAATTTAATGTCAATAATTTGTTAATATTGTTATGAAAACTGGCACCTGGTGAAGATATATTATATACATTATTTACATGTTTGGAAAGTAAAGAACCAAAACCTTGTCCTATATTATCCGCTACAATTATAACTATGTTTATTATTGGAGATATTGGATGATTTGACAACTGAATGTAATTTATTTTCAAATTTATTATATGATGGCTGATTGCGTTTTTTCTGTATGACCAGGTCACTTCCCATGTCTGCAGATATATTCTGAGTGTTTAATTTATTTGGAGATTCTGTGTTGGAGCAACAACATGTATTTTTGCTAGTAAATGATTCAAATCTGTTATAATTATAATTACAAAGATCTAATAAATACACAAATATACAGCTAAACTTCTACCATATTCCCAAACCTCGACAAAAAATGATAAGATTAGATCTAACGTTGACCCGCGAGGAGTCCCCCGTGGACCTCTGAAGTCCATCCGGACCACTTTGAGAACTAAGGATCTATACATATACTTTACCATTGACCTGCACACTTACACAAGTCGTCACTCCATCTAATGAGAGGTTGTCCCACATTAAGATGGGCCGTCACTCGAGAACCTTCTCCCCCATCGGCTATCGGTTCTTCGAGCCATGTGGCGGGCCTATTCCCACTTCAGCCTATTAAGGCAACGAGCTATGTCTGTTACTTCAAAGATGAAGTCGATGGATGCAGGTGGGTCAGGGTCGTGCTTCGTAGTGATTGTTGGCGAGTTGTATTTTCAACAGCGAACTCTGCTTTAAATGATTATCTATACATATTACTAATGCCCATAGACATCTGAAATATTTGTTAAGTTTACAGATTCGTTGTTAACTAAGTCAAGTGGATACCTCCTGGAAATCCTATCACACACTTACAGAAGAATCGGAATTTTTTTTGTTTAATAATAATAATAAATACACAACACTTTCAGTTTACGATGGTTTGTGATATTTGCTACAAAATAACAAACCACAACGCTATTAAACGCTACCAAAAGAAAAATCTTAATGGAAACAATTTATATTTATTATCAAACGTAAAAACTGTCACAACACGTATACAAGGGGTCACGGGACAATTACACTTACAAACAAAAGCACGGCACTAGGATCAAACGAACGTCAAAAATTTTTACAAAAAAAAAAAACAGTGTATTCTGTCTAGCATTCACCAGATAATGGAAATGTAAATATCGAGGGACTGTACTCTTAATGCTATGAGGATGTATGAAACAGATTAACACGTAAATATATAAATAGTAGAAACCATAACACGGCGAAGGCGAAACAGCGCCTTGAGAGACCGCACGGCGCGTCGCAGCCACGGGCGGGCATTTTCGAACCTTTAATTAATTTCCCGTAGTTCTGCCATATTTAACATTAATGCAATGGGGCCGCGGTTTTGTGTCGCCCCCCGCGACTGCAACGCCTGCCCGGTCGCCCCCAACGAGGCACTAGGTGTGGTCAACAAACAATTTCAATCACTGCGATATCCACAATTCACAACTTCAGCGGCTAAAGACGAGTGTAGCAGCCTAGATCTTTTGTCGGGTAACGGAGGGTGGAGGATAGTGGATCAGAGCTCTGCTGGTGCTGGTGCTGGTGATGGTGATGGTGATGGTGGACGGACTGACGTCACAGCTCGTCCTCGACAGTCTCCATGTCAGAGCTCTCAACGGCAACCTCGTCATAGTCCCGCTCCAAAGCGGCGAGATCTTCGCGCGCTTCCGAAAACTCACCCTCCTCCATGCCCTCGCTCACGTACCTGTTGGAACATTGTTGACGTTTAATTTAAACGACCCCGATTGGCCTAGTGGATAGTGAACCTGTCTCTTACGCCACGGGTGTGTGCGAAGTTCTCATTTTTGTGGGGTGAAGTGGTCGCCAGTATCTAGGTTTTTGTATAATTATAAAAATTATGTTTATGAGTTATCCATAGGACTAGCGTCTCTTAGGTCAGTATGTTCGTCTCGGCCTAGTTCTAAGGCAAACATTGTACTTTTATTCTGTTTGAGTTTATCAAAATTTACGAACTGTTAAGTTTGAAGAGCACAAATGGACAGCTTCAGTAAGAGAGTCTTGCAAGAAAGTTCAAAAACGAAAACGAAGATTAGGAAAAAAAATTATATTAAATGTTGAACCAAGGTTGTAAAAGAAAAAATAAGCCCGAAAAATTATTTTATTACAAGAGGGGTTTCATATGAGACCATTTTGTGTTTGTATGTATTTGTCTATGAACAGCGGCTTTGCTTTTTTGCTGTTTTATCCGAGAATCGCGCTGTCAAAACCAGAAACCGAGCTATTATTGGTACTGTTGAGATCTGAGCCATGTATTATTTTTCAATTGGGCTATGTTCAGTGTTTCATCGGGAAAAATAAAATGTAAACGGCACAAGGGGGAGGAGGCATATGCCCATGATGATGATGGTACGGAATTGAAATTCCAGGTGAAGTGTATAACAAAACGTAGTAAAATGAAGAGGCCAGAAGAGAGCAGCGTACCAGTGCACAAAGGCGCGCTTGGCGTACATCAGGTCGAACTTGTGGTCGAGCTTGCCCCACGCCTCGGCGATGGCGGTGGTGTTGCTCAGCATCGACGCGGCGCGCTTCACCTGCGCCAGGTCACCGCCCGCCACCACCGACGGCGGCTGGTAGTTGATGCCCACCTGCGACCACAGCACCACAACTCTAATCAGAATATACGGCCAAGACGATAATGCGGACAACTCCGAAAAGGCTGTCTATATTCTCAAACTTAAAAGTAGCAGGAACATGCAGCATTCTTTGCTGTTGCACGAATGGTCAGGCTAGTCCAGTCAAGTACAACGACCGCACAGAAGACCGCTGTGAAGTGGAAGAGATCCTCCTGCGTAGTAGTAGTAATGAGTGGGGTAGCCGGGGCCCACTTTAGTAAATGGTAAACGTATCTGCAACAGCAAAAACCGCGACTTGGCACACTTGGCAACGTTGCAAACCTTAAACCCGGTGGGGCACCAGTCCACGAAGCGGATGCCGGCGCGCCCCTTCATGCTCGCGATGGCAGCGTTCACGTCCTTGGGCACCACGTCGCCGCGGTACAGGAGGCAGCACGCCATGTACTTGCCCTCGCGCGGGTCGCACTTCACCATCTGGTTCTGCGGCTCGAACAGCTCCGCGGTGATCTCCGACACCGACATGCCCTCGTGGTACGCCTGAGGGGTCACCAATAACTACATTGAAAAGTGAGTGACCCTCAGTACATTTGGAAGCGGGTGACCCTCAGCGTATTTGCAAGCGAGTGACCCCGAGTGTGTTTATTAGTAAGGGACAGTAAGGGACCCCCAGGATATTTGGAAGAGAGAGAACCTCAGTCCCAGTATATTTGGAAGCGATCAAAACCCTATGATCTTAAAAACTACTATACGCCTTTTATAGGATGATTATCACGGAATGAGAATGGAGTAATTCATGAGGAAAATTAAGGTTTAGGTGTAATATATAAAATTTTTGTGTAAAATTGCCTAAAATACAATAAGTGTTAAATACGTCGTTATCAAAAAGTCTCGACGTTCATTTAACTTGGCAAATACTTTTAGAACGAGATGAACTATTTTCATCAGAAGGCAACACTATTAATTTTTATAATGCCTATTTGAAATTTGTTATCTTGTATACAACATTAGCAGATATTTAAAATATGTAGAGAATTTTCGCACATTTCGCACATTTTCTACATATTTTAATGTTGAATCTTAAGTGCAAAGATTAGCACTATAAACAATTTAAATTTCTAAAAAAGCAATGGCGACATATCTCGTTCGAATTATCGTTGTGAAACGATATTCCAAATTGTTTGTATGCTGGAAAGGATATAACAATAGATGGCGCCAAGCATTGCTTCAAATGCTAAGAAAACAATGTAGAAGAATGCGTTAAGATTTTCGTCGGTGTGGCAATCAGCCGTTTAGCTCAGTGGCTAGAGCGTCAGGCCGCGAATGCCGAAGACGTGGGTTCGATTCCCACAGCGGCGACAACCTTTTCGCACATTTTCTACATATTTTAATTAGCAGATATCACAAATTTCTTATTGTAGAAAATTTGTAGAAAAACTGAACGGAAAAATTTTTTCCTGCTGCGGGAATCGAATACCCGTCTTTAGGACTCGTAACCACTAAACTAAACAGCCAATTGACAATCTCAACTATATCTTATATATAGTGTTTATCGAATTTTAAGCAACGCTTGGCGCATCTATTGTTATGTCCTTTACACAAAAAAAAAAAAAAAATGCAACGTCAAAACGATAATTCGAACGACAAAAATGGCGTTCGAATTGTATAATAAATTTTTATAATGCAGTGCATGAAAAGCACTTAGAGGAAACAACAGAATTTAGATGAAAATAACCTTCGTAAATAACCACCGTACCTTGTCCGAGGAGACGACGGGCGCGTAGGCTGCCAGCGGGAAGTGGATCCTCGGGTAGGGCACCAAGTTGGTTTGGAACTCCGTCAGGTCAACATTCAGCGCGCCGTCGAATCGCAGCGACGCCGTTATCGAGGACACAACCTGGTCAAAGTGCTTCGTTAACGCTTAGTTCAAAATTAGGTTATATTAGTTGTACATTGCATTGGTTAGTTTTCGATAAAGATATTATTTGATATTTCGACGAAGCATTAGATCCGATCACAAGTTACACCTCTTTGTTATAGATATTCCTGCAAACAAAGTCGTTTCATCACTCGTAACGTTTGCATTCAAGAAGTGGAACAATTTACCTAGGTGTGTGATCGGTAACGAATTCTATATAGCCCGAACACTACACTACCTCTGTATCGACGCTCAGGAACTGGCCATTTACCAACAGAGCCCAGTCCGCTCTTTGATATCAACGCTGGTAAGCGAGCAGACAGTTTACCCGATGCTAAGCGATAACCACGTCCATGAACACTTTTGAGAGATTTCAAATGCTATGCAATGCGTTGCAATTCTTAAGAAAGCAGATTCCGGCTACCACACTTACTAGACGAGAAGTCAAATTGGAAGTATACTATATACTTCCATTACACAGCGCTTTCTATGCGACCGTGCTACTTCCTCGGACGAGCCTGCCCATTCGTGCAACATCAGAGGCCGTCGTTCTACCTCACCTGCGATATGAGCCTGTTGAGATTGGCGTACGAGGGCCGCTCGATGGAGAGCCGCCGCCGGCAGATGTCGTATATGGCCTCGTTGTCCACCATGAAGGCGCAGTCGGAGTGCGAGATGGTGGCGTGCGTCGTCAGCACAGCGTTGTACGGCTCGACCACCGCCGTTGAGACCTATTCAGAGACGAGTTCATAGTGACATATAGACTTCCACAACGACAGTTACGTATAACAAGTACAGAACTAGCTCGTTAGTGGTTAAAAGTAAAGGAAAGGATACGAAAAAGGCACTAGAATTTTATTGCTAAATGGTAAAAACAATACTCGTCATAGCAGAAATATATTTAGTTAGTCAATATGTGCTTGTTTAAAAGCTTTTATTGAACGTCAAAAACGTCCAGTAAAGAACGGGCAAAACACTCTGTGGTCTTGCAATGTTTTTTTAAATTATTTAATAATACAAAATTATTGAGATAAAATAATTTATAACATCGATAGCAGTCAGGGGACTTGCAAGTGCAGAATAAGTAATTTCCGACATCTTCGACATTACAATAGGCCCTATCCATTAGGGTATCTTTTATAAAATATTTGAAATTGTTTACACTTACCAACTATTTTATTATTTAAGTTAATATTGCTTGGTTTCCGTCAGCAATGTTCACAGCGTTATTCAGAGAAAAAAGTAGTTCCTCAATATAGAGAAGAGACTGAACGTAAATGAAATTGATTGCTTATCGTCCGTAATACAAAAGATAAAAAATTTAGTCCCCATCTATTTACTCTCCTTTTTAATTATTAGAAAACATTTAGGATTTAAATTAGATACTAACAATAAGAGACGGTTGGAGCACAAGATCCTCTTACCTGAGGAGCGGGATAAATCGCAAACTCCAGCTTACTCTTCTTCCCAAACTCCTCCGAGAGCTTCTCCATTAGAAGGGAGGTAAAACCCGAACCAGTGCCACCGCCAAAAGAGTGGAACACGAAGAAACCCTGCAGCAAGTGAATAAGATTCCTATCATTCCCAAGAATTCAAGAAAAGATCTTCAAAACTGCTCCACCCACTGCTTACTTATTCAGTTACTTATTAAAATTTTACAGAAATCTTGAGTATATGCGGTCTTAACAATCTCTACCCGATAATCTAATATGCAGAGCTAAAATAGATATAAAAATAAAGAAAAAAGACATTAAAATAAATCTATTAAATACATTAATACGTAAAAATATAAATATCGAAATTATATAATAAATACAATTACTGCACGATACATACTTATTAACACGTAATTATACCGGTAATATAGCATAGGTTACAGCAAACAAAATAACATTACAACGAATCAAGGTTTGAAAACAATCTGGTAAACAGAAAGCAAACTACCAAGTAACTAAATCGTAACAATATAATAGAGATACGTCGACTTGTAAGCACATAATATATAAAGAAACTCACCTGTAAGCCAGTGCACTGATCGGCTAATTTCCTAACCCTTTCCATGACGGGGCTGAGGATATCGCGACCTGTGGTATAGTGCCCGCGCGCGTAGTTGTTGGCAGCGTCCTCCTTTCCCGTGATCAGCTGTTCAGGATGGTAGAGCTGTCGATACTCGCCATTGCGAACCTCGTCTGTGTGATGAGCGATATTGTGACGCGATTATCGTAATACATGTACAATCAACTCTCCATTAAAAGTAGACCAAAATCCAAAGCATATCAACACTGATATTTAAAAAAATAAGCAACTGTAGAGTTTCTTGCCGGCCTCTTTTCAACAGAAACTAACGCAGTTTTTGTTGAAACCAAACCGGTGGTACCTTACGACTTATATAAACTTTTTTTTAATGATACTTTTTATTGATTGTTGAAGCGAATGGGCAGGTCCGCCCAGGTAAGTACCAGGACTTCACTGAAAACCGGCGTCAAGTAGAAGTGTCATACTTCTGCATTTTGTCTGATGAGCGAGGTAATTGTGGCCCACTTTATTAAAAGGTGGCAATGCATTTGCAACCCTACGGGTGTTGCGAACATGGGTGGTGGGTATTTCTTAACATCAGGTGAACCACCAGCTCGCTTGCCACCTTCTCACATAAAAAAGTAAGCAATACGCCTAGCCCATTTAATACACTATCGTATGTAAGGTGCTAGAGTGTTTAAATGAAGTTTTAATACGAAATATATATTTTTTTTATTTGAAACCATATCACCAAGGGATTTAATGAGATGTTGTATCTTTCATTGTGAAACACGCAATTTTCTTAAATATAACAAAACAATGTACACTCATATACCGCAGAGCTTATATGCAATTTAGTCATCGCAGACGTCTCAAACTAGATCAGGATCGAAAATTCAGAGAGAAATAAGAAAACAAACTAGTTGGAGGATATTCGTGGGACCTGAGATTACGCCTACAGCAAGTATAATTATTTGTCCACTGTAAGGCGAAAAACTATGTTTAGAGACGAACAACGTAGTGAAGATATCACAAGCGATCGGTAAACCCTTCTAGAGATAAAAAGACTACTGCGGATGCAATAAAAGGGTTGTAACCAATGATGTTTTGATAAAGATGACGCATGGCTATACTGCACGGCGCTTAAAAATGTTTCCGCTTTACATTATACGACATATAATGTAAAGCGGAACAATTTGTCACGTCGCATTCACTCGAATGTGACAGATGATATAGAACGTACGATGCGGAAAGAGAAGCAGTCTATTAAGTTGCATACACCAACTGGTTAAACTTGAGTGCCTCACCTTGATGCGCTAGTGTCATATCTACCTCCTATCTGTATATAACATCACTGGTCGTACCAATCACGGTGGGCTCCAGGTCGACCATGACCACGCGGGGCACCATCTTGCCCCGGTCCGCCTCCGAGAAGAACGTATTGAAGCACGAGTCCGCCGCGCCAGCGTCCGCCTCGCAAGAGGGCAGCGTGCCGTCCGGCCGGATGCCGTGCTCGAGGCAGTACAGCTGCCAGCACGCCACGCCCATCTGCACCCCGGCTTGGCCCACGTGCACGGAGATACACTCCCTCTGCACCGCGCGAGAGGATACGTTTTCACGTGAAAGTTAGCGCGCGGGCAGGCGTTTTTTTATTTGAAAAGTTGCCAAGCGAGCAGACGGTCTACTGGATGTTAAGTGAATAACGCCACCCATGGACATCTGCTACACCCGAGGGTTCGAGATGCGTTGACAATCTTTTGAAAATTGGGCTCCGGCCACCTCACTCACCAGACGAAACGCGAAAGTATTATACTTCCACTTTACACCGGTCTTCTGCGAGGTCGTGGTACTTACCTGGACGAGCCTGCCCATTCATGGAACAGCCGAGGCTTCTGCGTGGCCCTATTACCATGATTTCACCTGGTGTTGTGATTAACGTGGCTGATGGACATCCACACAGCACCAGATGGGTTGAAAATGCATGCCAACCTTTGAGAAAATAGGCCCCGGCGACCCAACTCAACGGATGAAACGTGACAGTACAATACTTCCATTTCACGTCGGTATTCTGAGGCCGTACTTTCTAAGACGATCTTGCTGCTCATTTATTTGACCATCTCTAGCCTTGCCTACTTCTAGATTAGCAAGCTACGTAGCCGAAAACCATTAGGTGGGATAGTAGTCAAACGGTGCTTTGATAGAGAAGTCATTCGAAGTTCCTATAACCGCGCACTAGAATCTGTTGTGAAGAGGAGAAATATTTCGCACATATATATGTGCAATCTGTATCACAAAAGGAAACAGTCGACTATCGATTTCTATCGACTCCCGTCCAGTTTCTTTCACCGGTTCTTCGGAAATCAGTAGCTTATTTTTGCCGTTTTCTGATAGAATTTTGACAATCAAAAGCAAGTGTAATGCTTCTATTTTGAATAAAGATATCTGAATTTGTTTAAAAACATTTAAGTGAAAAAACTTCGCGTAAGATTGTAAATAATTAATAAACAAAACAATCCGAGTGCGTGCTGACTTATGAGTACTTCAATCCATCCCCCCATTTGAGATGCCCCATGCGACAGAAGACGCTGTTACTCTATCCTCTTTTGTGCTACTCTTTGAATCTTAGCTAGATGGGAAGACGATTTAACATCACGGAAAATTGCGATTAGAGAATAATAAGACACGATTTAATATGGAGTTTAACTTTAACAAAAAACAACTTGGCATACAAATGATCATAAATGGTTTATTAAATGACTTGCATGCAAATTTTTAAACTATTTAGGAGGAACAAAATTTTTGGTACATTGCCATATTCGTAAATACTATTTTTAATGCGAGTGCAAGGAGAAATTATTATTACAATGAACACTTGAAATCCTTGTCTGATCCACCGGCACGTGGTACATTATTCCATATCTAATTGTATAATTATACTCACCATAATGATTACTAAGAATTTTTCTTAATCCGTTGTAAAAAGATGTATAAAAAGCTTGTAAATCAACACAAAATTACATAAATTTTGGTACGGACTAAAATTTTGAAAAAAAAACTGCACATCTGCGCCCTACGGATGGGCCGATTTAATATATTGTTCCAAACAATTCGAAGTTTTGAATAACAATTTCATATTTTGCCAAAAAAATATTAACCGGCCAGTGTTTGTAAAAAAAGATTTGATACGAAAAACTTATAAAAAGTTGGGATATCTACAATCATAAACAAAAAGAATTGATTAAATAATATTGTAAATCGTTTAATTAAATATGCACTTTTAAGTTAGGATTTTAAGTATAAATATAAATATTTCTCTTCTGATACATGACTTTCAAATTCATTTTGGAAAAGATACTTCCAAAATCTTTGTCTTTCTGTGTAGGTACTTAGTAGCAAAACATATAACATAGGGGCCACTTAATAAAACACAAAAGGTTTTATATCTAACCATTTTTAAGTTCGGCACTCCAAGGGTAAAACGCGACTCTATTACTAAGTCTTCGCTGTCTGTCTGTCTGTCTGTCCGTCTGTCACCAGGCTGTATCTCATGAACCTCGATAGTTAGACAGTTGAAATTTTAACAGATGATGTATTTCTAGTGCCGCTATAACAACAAAAACTAAAAAACAGATTTTTTTTTAATTTGAACAGACAAGATTTTTTTCTCGTTTTTATAGATAGTAGTGGTACGGAACCCTTCGTGCGCGAGTCCGACTCGCACTTGGCCAGTTTTTTCAGTTTGCTTTATATTTAACTTGAAGTTCAATCGCTTAAACAAACTTTTGTAACTTATTCGTTTTAACATAGACCGTAGTATTTATGACGTTATCAATGAGGTTAACCATTAGGAACCGATGATAATCGATTCCTCGATTTTCATTAAAAACTGTCGCAATAGCTACGCCAAATGTTGACTTTTGGATTTACTTCTTAACTTTTACGAGTTGAAGAGCAAAGGTAACAATCGTCCAAAGCACTTGATAACTTTGGATACGGTCAATCCGCAGAAAATATTTAAACCTGCGAACTAGGAGGGTGGCGGGTGCGCCGAGTGGGGCTCTAACTAGAGGGTGGTTGTGCCAACCCTCCTGACGGACCATTAGGGCACAATGGCGAATCGATTGGACCCCCGATTGGGCGACAAGTCGACCTCCCTTCTGTGCTCCGGTGTCGGATAATTTGCATTTTTCTGTTTACCCGTCTCTTTAGGGTGGCTGGTTTTGTGATTATTCTGGTTATTACTTATCGGATAGCCGCTTGTTAGTAGCGTCTTTGAATTTTTTCAACCGACTTCCGAAAGGAGGAGATTCTCAATTCGACTGTACTTTTTTATGTTTGCTACCTCAGAACTTTCGACTGAGTGAAACGATTTTGATGATTCTTTTCTTTTATTTGAAAGCTGGTGCTTCCCATGTGGTCCCATATTAATTTCATTGGTATTAGATCTTGGGCTTCAGAGATACGTAGGGAACTCCTGAAAATCAATTATAAAATGAATACAGAGCGAGATATTTGAATTGGGTTTTGTTTTTCGTTAGTAAAAAAAAATTTATTTATTTTATCTATAGTCCTAAGGATGAAGTTATTATGATAATATTGACTTGAAACGTCATTTCTTTCTAGAGAGAATTTTATAACTTCTGGAAATTGTACAAGGTGCCTTCTGCCAGTGTCGGACTTTTTGTCTAAAAACTTTGAATTGATAATGTGATAATTTTTTTTTGCCTAAAATACGCCGACCATATTTATACTACTTCATTTTTAATGCTGTGCCGTTGTGGTTTTATTTATTTTATATATTTGTTGCTTGATTTGAAAAAAATAATATATCAAATTTCTGGCACGTAAATATAATAAGAAATTGGACACATCTAATTTAATACAGGTAAGCTTTGACTTGCTCATGCAAAATATGTAATAGTTTTATATAACACACATAATATTATGAATGTTCAAAAACTTTTGCAGCTACCCTTTAAGATTACTTTAGTGCTATATTTTTACAAGTGACGTTTTAGGTTATAATCGGGACATCCGTAACACAAATTACCAATGCAAGGGACGTTCTTAACACCTAATTCTTCCGTCACACTCCACCATTGTAGCTTCATGTAAACATCTATTCATATGCAAAAATTAAACGCGTCCCTTCAAAGCCCAAGTGTCCGTATTTTGAATATTTAATTGCGTGACATTGTGACATCGCTCCGTAAATAAAATATGAAAGAGCGACACAATCGTTTCGTCGCGGTTTACCGATGAACACACATCACTAAGCCCGCGTGAAGTTCCATAATTAAACGAATGCATTTCATACGGTTTATGCGATGTTGTCTGTGCCCATTTTTTTTGACAGGAATATAAGTAGTACTCGACATGTTGTTTTGTTCGCATTTTCAATTTAAATATTTTTGTAAAAAATATCGTGAACACAATTTATTTTTTCTTCAATATATTGCTAAAGAAATTTCGTAACTTCAATAAAATAATTAAATAATTGCGTGGAAAAACATTTGAAGAAGAAAATTTTGCGTAAGAATCAAAAGAAGCTTAGGAATGAAATTATTTGTAATTGTAATGTTAAATGTAAGAGAGTTAATAAATTGTTTCTGCAAGGTTGTTCAATTCTCTTAATAGCAAGGCTCGTAGAGATAAATAATTAGTTTTTGTTCAGACAAAATTTAAAACTACAATTACTAATTCATGTTCACGTTGAACACTTTTATGTATAAAATATTTCCATGTCCTTGTAGTAAACAAAATGGGTATATTGTGAAACTGTCCTAGAATTTCAAACGATTTTTGACAGCTTTTAGACAAATAACCGTCGGCCAGGGAGAGGGTAGATCAAAGCGGACACAATGGGGAAGAGAGATTCGTATCTCCACAATTATCACTAATGCTGCCAGATACCATCTTAAAGGGAGCCTGCTGTACCCAACGCCGCACTTTTCGGTCTTTATGGCAACATTTTAGCTTCGAATCCGATTTGATTTCAATGTTTGCAATGAAGAACTAATCCGTCTTAGCAGCCATTACTGATTTGTCCTTTGACTAAGTGTTGACATATTTTTCAGATAAACATTTCAGCACAAACTATATAACAACAATTACTATGGTCACTTTAATTTTATAACATGATCGATACAATAAAAACGCAATAGAAACTAATCAAAATAATAAGTCAAATATTGATTTTATCTTATTAATTATTATTAAATTTATTTCAGTGCGTTTAAATTTTCACAAATGCCTAAACACTAACTCACCCAGAAGGGTAGCAAAAAGTTCACTATCCCATATTCATCATCTTTTTCACTTTTGCCTCATACATGTCAAAGTCAAAATATCTTTATTGGAATGTCAAAAAGTAACAGTTTAATACATTAAATCTCAATGATGTTTTTATAAAGAGGACGAATATCCATATTGCGTGGCTTTTAAAAATTTTTCCGCTTTTCCTCATTAGTTGACATAATATAATATAATATGGTAAATGTAAATAACTTTAACTCCGGCGTAATTCAATTAAATTAAATTTTAAACGATAGAGATAAATCTCTAATGAATTAATCAACAAGCAGAATTCGGCGGTCGCTTATAGTTTTCGAGAAAAAAAATATTTAAAACTTGTTTTTGTACTAAGAAATCCACCATTTTATTTGTTTGACTTCAAAAACTCAATACACAGTTCTGCCAACACGATAAATATAGGAAGCGGGCGACATCATACACGTATCGATATTCCGATTTTTTTAATTTAATGAATCACAGAACCGACACAGAGCGAATCCGACTCGGATAGATTAGGTTAGAAGGTTCAGGCGGGAGCGGAGCTCCCGCCTTAACCTTCGATGTTAGGTTTTTTTTTTATGACCACCAAGAAATACGAGCTGAATTGACATATTGACAACAAAAAAATGGCGGATTTCTATAGTAAAAATCACACTATTTCATTATTTATTTTTTCGAAAACTATAAGCGACCGCCGTATTCTGCTTGTTAATAAATTCATAAGTGATTTTTCTCTATCGTTTAAAATTTATTTGATTTGAATTACGCCGGAGTTAAAGTTATTTACATTTACCTATAATATAATATAATTGAATGTGACAGATTATATGGAATGTATGATACGGAAAGAGATAGCAGTCTATAAAATTGCATTCTAATTACACCAATTGGCGTCATTTGAGTGCCTCAGTTTCAGTGCTCTAGTGTCATACCTACCTCGTGCTTGTATATAATATCATTGCTAAATTTGCCCAGAGAAGTATCTGCTAGAAAAAGTTCTGCAGCCAAGTTTATGCAACGCTCGCCGGGTTAGCTCGTAATTAATAAAATTGCAAAGAAACTGTTTTCTGGTTTAACCACGCAACAAGAAAGTAACCACGGCGCACTGTGAAACGCACACACATTTCACACTTGCCGCCTTTCCAACTTTCATTTCCATAAGAGAAATGATACCGTTAAAAAATTTCCTAGTGACGTCGCAGAAATTCAATACAACGCCGCGCGGTGCACAAATTCGCCGTGCGATTACTCGGCCCGGTGGCATGACACCGCGCGACAATGGCCCGAGGTGTGGGCAAAATAAAAAATCCCATTTAGCCAACGGAGGCGGAATAATGAGCGCTTTTTACCGGTTTAATCCGGATCAGATAACTGTGGAACCCTAATGCGATGCCCGTTTGATATTCATGATCACCCCGCGGCCAGCGAGGGATTTTGGGAGCGTGCTCATGCTGGGGGATTTCGCCGAAGCAGGGACGTCTAGTTGCTTATGTGATCCTAGTACAAATCATTTATGCTTGCTCTACTTATATAAAAGACACCCGCAACTAAAAGAGTAAACGTGTTTTAGTTAATTGAGCATATTCTAATTATAACAAGGTATATATTATTTATTACATGTGTTACATCAAGGGGTTGCTAATTGAAGAG